CCCACCAAAAACTGAGGGTGATCTCAGGTGCTCCGGAAGGGTAAGCAGATCCTGCTCCACATGTGACACCCGTCGTGTTGCTCATGTTAGTACAAACCCGGTAAATAGTCTAATTCGGTAAGTCACATTCGTGAAAAGGGAGGGTATTGTAGTTACGACATAAGGAACATATCCGATATCATCTGTGAAACGGTTATTCCATAGCGGTCAACCAACTCGTGATGGCGTCCGTAAAATTTACGAAGGGATGATTTCAACTTCACCATTTGGAACTCTTGGTTTAATAGCTTCCTTGTGAGCAGCAATCCTCTATCAAAAAAATCATGATAGGAAACACAAGCCCGGGAATATCGTATCAATTGGGAAATATATACTCCGTATGCAGGCGCTGCTGGAATGTTGCTACATAGAAATAGAAAGTTCACAATTGGGAAGCTGAAATCATCTCTTTTGTCGTAAAGTTTTGTTTTCAACCGACCCTCATTGTCAATTTCTAGATGTAAGTCAAGATATGAGGCAGACTTAACTGTATCTGTAGTATCCTTTATCTCTAGTTCGATGGGATAGATTCGTTCAACATAGTCACCAAATTTTGTATTATTTAGTGAGAGAAAATCATCTATATAGCGAATTGTAGAGTTAAAGGATATTGCTATCCTATATATATATTCTTATTTTTTTTCCTAAGAAGTTCCTGTATGAAGTCAGCCTCATAATAATAAAGAAACAAGTCGGCAAGAAGAGGGGCACAATTGGTTCCCATTGGAATTCCGACAGTCTGTTGAAAAACACGTCCTCCAAACGTAACAAATATGTTGTCAATCAAGAAATCAAGCATCTTGATAATGTCAGTTTCAGAGAATATTTTGTTACAGTGATTCTTTACAAAGTAGGATTTATCCCTCCCCAAGACAAGATACTTGTATCTACGTTCGCCATTCTTTTTAATGAAACAAAGTAATACCAACTCTTTCAATTTGTCTTTTAGTTTGGAATGGAGAATACTTGTGTAAAGAGTAGAAAAGTCAAATGTTTTAATACTATTGCAAGATGAGAGAGTCTTAGATTGCATGTACTCTAAAAGATCTTTGGAATTTTTTAGTATCCACATCTGATTCACGCCACCTCTAGAATAGGCAGTTTCACAATAACTTTGGAGCCTGGCTTTGATTGCTGATAAAATAGATGTTAATAATTTAGAAAGAGGTTTCGTGGAGCACTTGGAAGACCCAGCAATATACTGTTGTTTGTAAGGACACTTATGTAGTTTAGGTATCCAATACAGTGATGGAAGATCCAGTTCTTCATCTTTGGTTGAAATTCATCATAGAACAGACCTATGATTATCCAGGATTTCCTCTTTGGTAAGTGTCGTGAGGGTATATGTTGAGTTTCCAAGTGAATTGTCAATACCTAATTCATTTATCAAGCAGTTTATGTAATGATATTTACACACAAAAACGATGTTGTTCGGGGCTTTATCTGCGGGGACAACAACATATTTGTCATGGAGGTAGGACAAGTGTTTTGCAACATTTGGGTCTTTAAAAATTGACGTAGCGTGGGTATCGATATGCCCATTAAGTGGTGAATAAGTAGAACTTTTTATAAATTCCGGAAAACGATCGGTTAAGTTTGCAATTCGTTTTTAAATATAACCACAACAACTTTTTATAAATTCCGGAAAACGATCGGTTAAGTTTGCAATTCTTTTTTAAATATAATCACACACATTTTTCAATTCAGCATAATTATGCGTTTTGATAGACACAAGAAGACTTAATTTGACAGAACACAAGTGCACCGACAAAAGTCCATAAGGTCAATCATGATGTAATTAAATAAACTTAATTAATTGGTCTGATTAAAAAAATTAAAATTCTAACAACGTTCCCGTATTTTATTTAAGTAATATCCTGACTCTATTCTCGCCCAACGTGAATTTTAATAAGATGTTAGAAGTAAAACAAGCCCTTTTGTTGACACAAGTCGTCAAATTGTTGACATTAGTTTTTTCCAAGTTAATTTTAATCATAATATGTTTGTTATCTAATAATAAACATATCAAAGTGCCGAGTGTTTTCTCTCTTTTTTGCTAATTGTTTAAATTTCATAAATGACAACGCTGAAGAGGTCAGCTCATTCGTGTGCTTTGATACTGTAACTGGCAGCGATATGAGTTATTATCAGGTTGGCGGGACACTCATTACAAATTACAAATTTCAAGGTTTCTTATCTTTGTAGATACACTTGACAACAACAATAAAACAAATATTCTCTTAGTTCTTAAGAGCATTACAATTGTTTATACCCTCATGCCACTGATGATAAACGGAAATTAGCATAATTAGCAGAAAACCTCAAAGTTATAAAATGTGTTAGTCGGGGTTACAAAGGAAAAAATCAAAACCACTGAAGCTAAAGAATAAAAGACAACACAATGACCAAAGAAAAAGACCAATACACAAATTACAGTCCACAAAACACTACAAAGAAAACTAAAGGTTTAGCAATAAGAACCCTACAAAAACCTAGGAGTAGAAATCAGGTACTCCGGAAGGGTAATCAGTCCCTGCTCCACTAGTGACTTCCCCCTCGTGTTGCTCATGACAGTAAATACGCAATCGGTGTTGTCACAATCGAAGAAGAAAAAAAAAGGGATTGTGGCTACAATTGGAACATATCCGTGGTCATCTGTGACACAGATATTAGAAAACGGTCAACCAAATCATGAATGCATACAAAAAACCGTTAAAGAGCTAGGTTCTATGGCTTTCTTTTAATCACCAACTTTCAATCACAAATACCACGAAAGGAAATTAAAGTATCAACAAGAACAGTATATGCTGGTGTTGCTGGAATGTTGCCAAATAGAAATTGTAAGTTCACAATGGTGTAAACTTTAATAATTGATTATAAACATGCGGTCCAGATGGCACTTTTCATTATGTGTCATGAAATTATTTCTTTCAGTTAATATAACAAGCATATGTCTGTAACTGCTAAGTAGAATACGTGCGATACAATGACAAGTAGCTGTTAGTATTTCCTCTGTCAATACAATAAGTAACTTTGTGTTTGATTGACGTCATACATGTACATGTATACATTAATTTAAAAATATAAATGCAAACATGCTTATGATTTATCTTCTTGATATATTATAATCCAGACATCTATTGGTTTCGTGAATAAAACTTATAAATGGGATTTTAGCAAACATATATCATTTCTGACAAAGATAATAGCCGACTGAAGGAGAAATAGACATAGTAAGAGGATACTTGCAGTGAACGGTGCAATTAATATCATACGGAAATATTCATCGTTTACTAACAATACAAACTTGTCATATACCAGATGGGTACCAAACTAGTATCAGTGGAACATGCATATTAAAAATCAAGTTTTGATAGTCTTATTAAAGACCAGTGTACCAAGTCAGAAGCATATAATTCAATGATTTTCGTTGGTTGCTGTCAGTCATATTTGTTTTTCGTTCATTGTTTTGTCATAAGTCAGGCCCTTGGTGTTTTCGTTTTAATTGTTTAACATTTCGTCATGTCGGAGCCTTATATAGCCTACTATAACAATATGAGTTTTGCTTATTCTTGAAGGCCGTACGATGACATATGTTGCTTACATCCACGTGATTTTTACTTTGATAGATAGTTGTCTCATTGGCAAACATAGCACGTCTTCTTATTTTTATATTGTAAGAAACCGTTTGTCGAAGTGCATCCGTATCCAAAGGAAAGAGGCACAAATAATTAAAACAATGATAATGAAAATAATAATAAACAATTGGCCAAAAACATAGCACTGAGAACTATTTAAGATTGAGCACAAGCCGGATTAATGTTAATTTCTATATTTTCTCAAGGGGTAAGAGAACGATCACTTAATATTCTGGGTGGAGGGGGATTTTCTGGATTGATCATTAATTTTCATTTGTTGCTATGCATGCTTATTTTTTCTGCGACTTGGCCACGCAAAAGTTTTCACTGTTGTACACATTTGATATCTGAATTTCGTGTTGTAGAATATTTATTTCCATCCTGTACTGTGCATTTATGTTTAGTTCTTACCAATCTGTTACTTATTTTTAAAATAACCCTGTTCTCCTCGAAAATCAAATGGTCGTCCCCCAAGAAGTCCCTGTTCAATATATTAAACCCTTTTTTATTATTCATGTTGAGATCCGCTTTTTTTTACTTTTTTTCAAAATCTTACTTTTTGGTGTTTTAGTCATTAGATTGTATAAATATCCATATGTATGTCTTTGTCTATTCCGGTTGTCTTCATCTGGTTATCTATGTTTTGTTTCTGTTCAATTCATTGTAACCGCGTTTGTACAAAAAATATCAAGCTGGCAATCAAAAACCATCAGGCGAAGAAAGACAAGCAATACCATGGCAAAAAAACCTCAAAAAACACAACGAACCCACTAACAACAGTTCACAAAGCACAACAAAGAAAACCAAAGATTGAGCAACACAAAACTCACTAAGAATTGAAATAGAGAGAACTGAATGTAGACTTTTTGTGTAACTATAACGTGAAATTTTGCTAAAAACTCTATGTGATGATTACATTATGCAGTTATGCACGGAGTGTACTTCATTTATACTAATTTGATAAGCCGGGGTCATACAGTAACAAAAAAAAATGCCCTTTCCCCCCTGAAATAACTGCAGGATCATATGCATTTGTCCGATGTATTCACTACCAAAGGTGTTGAAAATTCAGAATTAGATTTTTTTGTCGACAGCTTTTTATAATAAAAACGCAGAACCCCAAAATGCTACTATTGTCTTCTAATGCAAACCATTGCTTCCTTTTAATTAACATTAAAAGCCTCTCGAGTAATATTTCTTCCGCTGGTAAAATAATTTATTCCAAGCCGTATAAATGCGTCCAGTTAAAAAACCTTTCCCCGTTTATATAGAGAATAAAGTGTTCATCTATAATTAGAAAAGGACTTAGAATATACAAAAAAGTTACTTCGATAAAAAAATATTTATTTGTTAGACCTCTCCATGGGAGAAACAATATAATCACATTTGAAAGACTCACAACATTTGTTTCCAAACAAGGATTAAATTTACTACCATTGCACGTTTGGTATATGTTTATGCATGTATATAATATATGTATGTACACCTTTGTGGAAGATTTAAAAAAAAATATTTTGAGCGAGCTTTAAAAATAGGACGAAAAGCGGACTCTTCAAGATTTTCGTAGCGAGTGTATTTGAAATATTTATCATGGGCATGCTATGCATTAAAATTATTCACAGATGCACAGGTTTGTCTTTACTCATTGTAAATTTTGAGTTGTAAACACAGCCATTTTAGTCATAAAGTCGACATAAACCTTTATAGACAAAATCGATCAGGCTTAAACGCGGACCGCGAAGAGGACCGTAAAATGAAATGAGACGTTAAAACAGTAATTTCTACATAACCGTTCGCTCAACTCTTAGAAACAGCATAACGGGAGACTTTATTTGTATGCTATACAAATAAAGCAAAAAATCCGTTTACTTGTTATTTGCATAATAGCTGACTGATTGCAAAATAAAAAGTTTTACATATGTAGTATAAGTTTTTTTTAACAAAAAAATTCTAACCAATATCAGCATAAACATTATTTTACAACTTTAAATTATTGAAAAACCTTGTAGTTTACCAATCACAATTTTGACACAAAAATAATAAAAAGAGTCAACAATCAACCCACTTGTGTATTTTTCTCTATTTTTAAGAAATATCTACACGCTTTCCTTTAGTATTGATCGGTCAACGTCACACATGACTTACGTTGACATTAACGGCTACGTCACCTTGTAATACGAGTGTCAAAAAATCAGTTAATTAAATTAGTTTAAACAAGTTTATTGCAACAAACAATTATGTAAATTTTACAATCAAAAGAGATTATAAAAACTTTAAGGTAGACATTTTTTAGCCTTAAGTTAAAAATATGGTTGGTAGGGTAACTTAAACACAAGTATTTTTTTTAGTTAGGTCTAGTCAAAAAAAGAAAATACATAATACTTCGCCAAAAAGATGACTAGAAGATTTTTCAGAGAGAGATGTAGTTTCAGCTAAAATCATCCAAGAAAAGAAGTCTCTGTCAATGACGACAAAACGGTATTTTTTTTCTGAAAATCTGCATATTGTGGAATGTTTTTTGTAAGTAATAGGGAAACAAATGATATGCTACCAGGTACGCTAGCTAGTACAGTGCATGATATAAAATGATTAATCGAAGACTGTTAATAGATATGCAAATTGACTGCACAGTGTCGTGTCATTAAGCAACATGATATGTTAAATTTGTGGTTTATTGTCAGTCCACAATTCACCCACTACCGGATTCCATACCGCTATTACAATTACAATTAAAAGTTCATTATCAAATTCCAATAGTCAATACTGAGTGCACATTTCAATATTTTCATCTACTAGAGTATTCGTTCACACTGTTAAACTGAACACATTTCTGTTATCTAGAATTAATTAAGAAAGGCTGTTGTTCGTTTTTCACATCGTTTTATAAAACACCCAAACAATTTAGTTCAATTTCCAACTTTTTCCCATTTTTTTTTGCACAGCGAAACAACTCCCTAAGTAGAACAAACTATGTCTGTCATTGCTAACACAAAAAGAGTTGACTGAGCATGCGTTATTATACGAGATCTGACAATAATGTTGCTTCGTTTCATTACACAGTTATGGTAAAATTGAACTTCTCAATGGAATTTGTAACTTCTTATGTCCATCGAAAATGACTTTTCCATAAGGTTTGAATCGACAACAATGGATACAGTTTGTGGTACCTACCAGCTGTTTCTGCAAAAAATTCTAAAACTGGGAAAAAAGTGTGTAATTTAAAAACGGACTATAATCCCGGGTCATACACAACTAATTCAACCTTACCACAAATGAACCCGTGGAGAGGAGTGCAATCTCGTATTTATCTTTAATCAAATAACTACAATCTAAACTTTTTTTTGATTTTAAGAAATACTTTTATACACGTACATTAATTTCAAGGACCGTTTTGAGCTTACAGTACACTAAGAGTATACTACGGCAATACATACGGCGAACCCTATTCAATCTTTGAATATAGTTTTGCTGGTGAGATTGTTGTCAGATTGACATAAACCCCTTTTTCTCGTTCATATTGCATATGTTATAAAAACGAAAACGACTAAGTGACTTAGCTGACTTCACCAACAGTTAATGTTGAAGACAATTTTGACAATTGAGAAAATAAATCATCATAATCCAAGACCTATATATTAAATACCAATACCTTTTTAACATATCATGTAAGAGAATACTTTAAGTATACTCATGGTTTATTCCTTATAATAAACTGTACGAATCTTGTCCATGGATCCAACTTGTCGTTTTTGTCTGTAATTAATGAAAACTTCTCCTGATTAGGAGACTTCGTGCTTGTTATTTTGTCAAAAGCATCTGACACTGTTGTAATTATAACTTTTTGAGTTGGATTTTTAAACTTTGTGTCTATTTTTTCACCCATATTAAAGGGCTGTTGTTTGTTTAATACTAGAATGTGTTTTTGTTCAATATTCTTCATTCGTTTATCTTCTTCTGCTTGTTGCTTTTTGAACACTTCTTCGTTGTTGTGTTTTAATTGCTCTATTTGAAGTTTAAGTTGCCGTTTCTGCATTTCCTTTTGTTTTTCAATAATTAGTTGTTGTTTTAATTCTTGTTCTTTCAGTTGTTCCTTAAAGTCTACTTTAGGGGGAGACGGAACGTTAGCTGTTATTTTTTCCAGGGGGCGAGGTCGTTTGTTATCAATAAACGATTCTTGTGGTCTCTTTCGATCAATTTTATGCTGAATAAATGTATTTCCATGATAACCAGAAGACATACTGTGTTTTGCATGGTTTTCATTTTCTCTTTGTTTCGTCTGTTCTTTCTTTTTGGTGATCTCTACTTTTGAACTTTTTGTTCTCGGTATTGCTTTTTCCCACCATGCAACTTCTTCATTCTTTTTCATAGGTGAGACATTTGTTTTGTGCTTCCTTTTCCAGAAAGGTACTTCGGCAGCAACTCTAGCAGTCGGACTTGCTGTTTTTATAATCATAGGTCTTCTTGCGTTTTGTTTTACTGGTCTGTCATGTCTTCTGTGTACCCAAGGTGCAATCGCAGCTGGTTTTGTGGGCTTTGGAATATTAGTTGCTTCGTGTCTTACTGGTTCGTGACTCCACCATTTCTTTCTTGCTTCGTTAGAATGGTGAAGTCTCGTTAAACTTTCCGAATGCGCTTTTTGAGATTGTTTTCGCATTGCTTGTATTTTTTCGAGTCGCGCTCTAATGTAGTTTCTCCTGCGAGTGACAGGATCTTGTTGTCTGTTCCATGCTGGTTTTTGATTTTGATTGTTGTGTGACTGATGTGAATTGTGAGGAATGTTTTTATTTTGACATTGCCATGGTTTAAATGTATTGATCTGAGATAATCCTATGGGATTTTTTAGCCAATCAATCATCTTTTTCACTGATACAATGAAAACGTCATCCATTTTTGACAATTGCTGAATAAAACGATCCATTGCGTTTAATCTTTCAGGAATATAAAACCAAGACGGATGCATGTTAATTCCAAAAGGCACACGATTCTTTGAATGATAGCTATTAAAGTTATCCATTAAAAATTTATAGGCAGACGATTCGTCTGGTGGTGGGTTGTTACATCCATCAACATAAACACAATCATACTGATGTAAATAATCCAACAACGAAACAACTGGAACTTCCCAGAATCCAAAATGTCGTCGTTTTGGACAAGGTTTAACCTTGCAGTCATATGGCCAACCAAAGTCTAAGGTAAACGGAGTTGGCGCGTTATCCTTGAGCGACCGTTTACTGTAGGTTAATGTCGCATCGTATGTATATCCAAGCTTCTTAAGGGTGTTTGGTTGCATATCCCCGACTGGTTCCAAGAATGGACTTCTCCAGCCTACAATTTCGTTTTCGGGAACACCACCAAGTGTCGCTAAATTTCTTTTTTGGTTTTTAGCTTCCTTCATAAAATTGGCATTACTCATGTGAGCATGAGATACACTATGAGCAGCTATTTCCATTCCTTTTCTATACATATGGTTTACATTATTATATTTGGTATCATGATGGGAAACAAATAATGTCATGGATATCGGACATCCATTCGGATTTTTTCTGGATTCATTGAAAAGTCGATGATAAAATTTTGTAGCAGAGTCGGTTAAAGCATCATCAAATGTAAAGAAAACAATTTGAGGTATATCTCTTTTTGAAATTGGAAGTCTCAATTCATCTCTACAACAAAAACAGTCAGGTGGCAGGCACGTTTTATTATTCAGACAGGAGACACAAGCGCTTGGCTCACTGCTATATTCAATTCCATATTGTGAAGCAGACAGTATAACGAAAGTTGTGAAAAACAAGATATTAAATAAACACTTACAATTCATTTCCGAAAATAGTTCCTCTGCGAATTTCGAAATAATCCGATAAAGGATACAATCACAAAATTTTAATAATTTATAGAGTTTTAATACGGACAATATTCAGGGCTATACGTTCCCATAAAATCCCGAACCATCCGTCTCTCAGGTTAACACAGAGGAACTGTCAGTATTACTGGCCATGGCAATTAAAATGACATATACATGTCAAACTGTGTATTATACTCCCCTCAGGTAATATGATGTGTATCCCATTTTGCATATTTCATATAAGGAAATTAAATAGATTCTTTACTGTTTAATGTTTTGATTGACAGATGGTGTGGTATATAATTAGTTTTATTGCAGTCAACAAACAAAGAAGCTGATTATTATTTTCTTCCTAGAGAAAACCCCCTGGTTGATTTAGTGGTTCCACATCGCTCAGTCATCTAGCCACAACAAAGTAGTCTGATTTCATGGTATATGCAAGTTGAACCTTCCCAAAAGAGTATGTAGTGGTTTGCAGTACCATAAAATAATGTCAGCTTAATTTTTTTGTGGCTTTAAAAAAAAAAAAATTTGAGTTTGACGTTGTATACATGGGTGTTGGTTGTTATGTAAGAGCCTTTTCAGACGTGACAAATAACTTTTAACAAAGACATACCTGATAATTACATATCGGTCAGCATTGAGTAAATGCATCAGTGGATAAAGCTATCATCTTCGTATATTCTATGTAATGACTGATGATATGATATGAACATCAAACACATAATGCATAGGAAATAAGGTGAATAAAACTAATCCTGTTATAAATGTACTGATTACACGGTAGGTATCGTGTCCAGCGGAGATCGTGTTTTTTGAGTGAATCGGTCCACTTTTTTCGAGTGTAGATCAGGTTTTTGGAGTGATATTACATGTGATCAGATCAATTTACTGATATTTTGCGTATATAATAGTTTTATTCATGACTGTTCATCTTATTCCGAATACTAAATATGTTTTGAGCACAAACGACGCACAATTTCCTTGTAGTTCACTAACAGTTCAGTGTTTTACATTGTCCGTGTTTTTTCGAGAGCAACATTTAAAACGTCCGTGTTTTTAAACAAATGGTCCGGGGTTTTCAAAGAAAATGTGAATAAGAATAAGGCATTCTTGGGCTTAAAAACAAACTTTTTCTAGTTTGTTGCTGTAGCGAAGGGCAATACTATATATTCCTAATAAGAAGCAAAACATACTACTATGTTAATCAAATTTAACGCTTTTCAATTGAATAATAATTTTCTATTCTGAAATCTTTATATCATAACCTTGCAGTATTAAGATATATTAGAAATTACTGGATCCTTTGTAAAACTGTCTTTAGAACCGAGAACAGGGGACTCATAATCTTTTCAATATCATTTCATGCTATAATTTATTTTACAGTAAATAACAGTTTAAGATTTATTTATATTACAGTGGCGAAACCTGGGGAAGATCCGTATGAAATAATAATAAGTAAAATGTGTATACAATAGCGTACACCTCGTGTATAAATTTAATTCATGTCTTTCGCAGAGTTCCGTAGATATACATTGGTAATTGTAATGTCTAGATAGAGATCCGTATGTTTCATTTTTAAAGCACTACTGATCTGACAAATGGAAATGAAGCTATCATGGTGTTTTATTGCTGTGTGACCAAGTATAACACACGCTTGATCATACTCCTCATCACAGTAGTGGCATTTATTTTAGTATAGTAAATGTATTTTCTATTAAAATAAAATAAACAAACCCGTTCAACACACACAATGTACGTACATCTCAATCCAAAATTGTACTGCTTGATACTTTAGTCTGGGAAAACATGATTTATTCATTAGTTGTAGCTGACTTTGAACTAGCTTTCAGTAACCGCGAGTACTCTTATATCGATACTTTGTATCTATTGTTTTTATGTTAGTTGTTTTGTTTGTGCTTGGTACCGAACTAAGACTGTTGAGAAAAGCCATTTGTAACTGATTTTAACAGCTTGTTCTTATTTTTTGCTGTTACACCACTGTCCAAAGCTAGGGGAGGGTTGAGGGCTTACAAACATTGTTTTTCGTTAATTGTTTTGTTAAAAATTAGGCCGTTAGTTTTCTCAATTGAATTGTTTCATATTTTTCATGTCGGGGCCTTTTATAGTCGACCATACGGTATGGGTTTTTCTCATTGTTAAAGGCCGTACGGTTGCCTATAGTTGTTTACATCCACTTTATTTGAACTATGGTGGATAGTTGTCTCATTGGCAATCATACCTCATCTCCATATTTTTATATTAACCTGCCACAATCTTTTAATTATATGCCTGTCCCAAGTCAAGAGCCTGTAATTTAGTGATTGTCGTTGGTTCATGTCCGTGATATTTGTTTTTTTCGTACTTTTATTGTATAACTTAGGTTGTTATTTTTCTCGTTTCAATTGTTCAATTTTTTAATATTGGGGTCTGTTATAGCTGACTATAATGTATGGGGTTTTCTCATTATTGAAGGCCGTACGATAACCTATATCTACTTTTATCTTCGTCATTTAAACTCTTGTGGATAGTTGTCTCATTGGCATTCATAACATATCTCCTTTTCTTTACACATATATATGGCTGTGCTCACATTAAAGGGGCATTAGCTACGAGATATGAAAAAAAATAAAAAATGACTTTTTTTGTTCAATCATTAATGAAAGTGAAATAGTGAAATAACAATTCACTTCTAGCAGTCAGTTTGGTTCAGTTTTGTCAAAATAAGCTAAGAAATATTGCTGATGAATTATTCACTTGCAAGTGAATAATTCGACCTCATTGAATCCGTATTCATGTGACCTCAAATCCTTCGCTGGAGATGGGTTACGCATGTATTCAGCTATTAAAAGGAAAAGAATGTCAACATGGAAAGTGAAACAAGGATGAACCATTTGGTTGACTGATTCGATCCACAAAAAAATCATTCTTATACAGGTAAAAACGATAATAAACATACTTTTAAACCTACAATATGAAATCAAACAGACCTATAAAAATCATATTGCACGTGGTCACTATTCATTTACATATATACTTATGTTTATATCGGATTAAATGACCATCAGCAATCTTCGGAGGTCATCTCGATAGTAAATTAGATGACGTCTAGACAAAAATACACGCGAAATATTATCGAGTTCATGCATTGTTATTTGTTTATTTTAGACTTTTTGTAATATGGATGTACGTTTTAGTATGTTATAAATCAAATATGGAAATTTGAGTCAAACGGTGAACACGAATTTGACAGCTAATGCCCCTTTAATATTGTTTAAAACACGAACATTTACTATATGATATCCATATACGCTGATTATTCAGTGTGCACCACATTTTTTATGTTATTTCTTCATAGACAGAAAAATATTACAGTCATTCCTTAAATATACCAATGCCGGTGTCAATCATCGCGGCAATTGATAAGATGTGGCAAATAATAATATATACAAATATACGATGCTTTTTACGAATGTACGTGTTACGTTCAGTATTATCAAACTGGTTAAATGCATTGGTTTCGTGCTTTAAAAAGTACGTATTTAACCTTTTCATTGTTTTTTAAACATAATCGCACTGACATATACCATTTAAAGAAAATTTTGTTTAATCACTCAATCAAAACCTGGACTGCACCGAAAAAACCCGGACTGCTCACGAAAAAACACGGACATATAAAAATTTATTTATTCTAAAAATGTCCTTCTCAATGCAATAACAAGAATTTTTATAAAGTGTCTGTATATCTAAGGATATATAGATTCTAAATATACCTTTCCTTTGACATTTGCATTGGTCTTGTATAAAAATAGCTTTATTCTATATTTTGGAATAAAACACTGTAAAGCTAAATTAAATTACATTTTGATCATATTCTCTCGAAAAAGCGGGGTCACACTAAAAAAAAACCGATCAAATCAAATCGAAAAAACACGATCCCAGCCCGGCACTATACCTACTGTGGATTAAATCAAAGGAAATGCGTAATAATAAATGTATCAATTGTGACTCTCAGCGCTTATCCAACAACATGTTATCCTATGGCAAGATATTCATCGTTCGGGTATCGAATATTCATTATGTCAAACCATCTGTATGGTTCCGCATTAAATGCATATTTCGATACAAAATAAAAATAAAATAAATATGAATAGTTGATAATAAACTTACTATTTACATCTAGTAAGCTGGGTTATCAGAACTATTTTTTTTAATTTAACACTAATAGCAGCACACCACAGTGAACAACACAAACTTACTAGATGTAAATATAAGCGCTCAACCCCTCTCTCTTAACCTGGGACAGTACAAAATAAGAACAAACTGTGAAAGAGATGTAATAGCACAAAATAAGAACAAACTGTGAAAGAGATGTAATAGCACAAAATAAGAACAAACTGTGAAAGAGATGTAATGGCACCAAATAAGAACAAACTGTGAAAGAGATGTAATGGCACAAAATAAGAACAAACAGTGAAAGAGATGTAATATTAGCACAAAATAAGAACAAAGCGTGAAAGAGGTGTAATAGCACAAAATAAGAACAAACTGTGAAAGAGATGTAATTGCACAAAATAAGAACAAACAGTGCAAGAGATGTAATAGCACAAAATGTGAACAAACTGTGAAAGAAGTGTAATAGCACAAAAAAAGAACAAACTGTGAAAGAGGTGTAATAGCACAAAATAAGAACAAACTGTGAAAGAGGTGTAATAGCACAAAATAAGAACAAACAGTGAAAGAGATGTAATAGTACAAAATGTGAAAAAAAACTGAAAGAAGTGTAATAGCATAAAATAAGAACAAACTGTAAAATTCAGTTGGAATTGGAGATCGTCACGAAGCACAAAAAAACCCCAAAGGTTCAAGATTACTCCATAATACAGAAATTTAGTTTAGATCTATGATGCTGCTTCTGGCCATGGTGCAGGTCCAACGAACACTGAACTTCATAATAGTTAATATGGTTATATTAATAAGTCGTGTTATTTTTGAGCTGTTTTATTTTGTATTACCTAGATCATACATGTATAATGTACTAATCATTGTACTGATTTTACCTATACTCGGATATAACATTTATCTTATCTTATACGGTTTAACGATACAGCAGTGCATTCATATGTGACTCATTTCACAAAAAAAAAAATCCTAAACGCAAAAATAGTCGTAAATCATGAACATTTCAGCACAATTTAATACGCTCAATTAATAGTCGTAAGTCAAGAACATTTCAGCACGACTTAATACGCTCAATTTATTGTCGTAAGAATGTGATCAATATCCCAGATTATATACCGTTCCAATTTTTTTGCCAGAGGGGAAGAGATGCACATTAGTGTTTTTACCAGATCAATCTCTCATCTTTCCGTAGATTTTGTTAAAACAATATTTACGGTGATGTATTTTTTTTGCACCTACCAAAATCAGTTGTTATTACTGTGACAATTCGTCTCTTATATTGTTTATTAGTTCTATACTATAATTTATTGTAAATAAGTACAGTTCCACGTTTTATTTAATTCATTGTGAAGGCCGTATATACGATGACCTATTGCTGCTTACATCCACGCCTTTTGGACTCTGGTAGATAGATGTATCATTGGCAATCATACCGCATCGCCTTATTTTTATGTTTACGTCGGAATTAAATCTTTTAAAATTTTTTAGTGCAATTTTTCTCTATTCTTTATACTGGTTGCCCATTATTCTGTATTCTTATATTTGAGCACCTCATTTTTCTCTATTCCTTATTTGTTTGGTCCATTTTTCTCTATTCTTTATATTTTTTGCCCTTTGTTCTCTATTCTGTAAACCCCCATCCACACCGTCATGTTTATACCGACTCTGAAAAATAGCCAATGATCAAATTGTGGACAACGGGAGGTAACCCTACAATTTTCCAGTAAAACAATCATCTTAAATTCTCCCTCGCCTGCTCGTCCGAATTTAAAGCATTTCTTTACTAAATTCCTTCGTATAAATAAGACAAAACTCTAATACAGGTATGGTTGCTCGCAGTAACTTGTTCTTTTCTCTTGCAAACAATGTTTAATTACATAATAATCTGATATAATTTAATAACAATCTTCAAATTGACATTTGCATACAACAAAATTATCCAACACATCATTATATGCAAATGAACTTAACCTCTATATAATCAATATTCATAAATATGACAATAAACGGTAAACCGTACGTTGTAGTTACTGTGAGCACATTCGATGAACTGACAGCTCAACAATTTCTGTTATATATATATATCGGAACCCCACCCTTTAAACCGCCAAAGGATTTCACGTGCATATATAACCAATATATCTAAATCCAAAAATACCAATAACCCGTTTTACAACTTCTCTATATATAACTATATTTAACGCAGGGTCATAGTGGACAACGGGAGGTAACCCTACAGTTTTAATTTATTGTCGCTTGCTAAACGTCTAGTTGCAAATATTTCACGCATATACAGAACGAATACAATTTTTTATCCTGCAATCGGCCTTTCTACAATACAAATACAAGGTGGCAGATAACATGAACCGATAAACATATACTAAACGTTTATATAGTCTCCTGGTATCCTGCTTCTGTTGCAAGCGAACGGTTATGTTTAAATTACTGTTAAATTTACGTAACAGCTCAATAGTGGGTCCTCATTTCGGTCCGCGTTTAAGTTCCGTCGATTTCACTCAACAGTGATTTAGATGGGAAAAAACTATAGGTTTTAGCTCAATGTTAAATTGCAGGATAAAACAATATTCAGGCGTACAGTGTAAGAAAATATAAAATATATGTGTACTCGCTACGAAACAAGCCTCGCTTTTCTTTCTGTTTCTAAAGCTCGTCATCTTTTTTTTTATATTTTCCTACACTTTACGAATATTGTATATGAAATATAGCCTATATTTGAAGGCTTATATAACATAACCAAAAGTGTTACCCGGTTTAATCAGAAGAAAACATACACACCTCAGGGGGACCTCTAAAAGCAACAGCAGTTTTTATTTTCATCTTGATCGATATATCAGTAGCAACAAAGATATCGGAAGCAGAAGCAACAACGAAAAAGCTTGTGAAACACTGAATAGCAATGTATGGTTTGTGACAAAACGAGGGCCAACTAGCAAGTATTCCAGAGTAATTTAGGAGTCGTGACTGACCGGGAAAAGACATGTTATTTACTATTGAGAAATCGTGAGCTAATTAATGGAAACAGAAATATTTGCATTCATTATTTTCAAATACTTCGAACAATGTCAGTGTAAGGCATTCTCGTTTTTCTGTTTATGTGCTGTGTTTGAGAACTCCACTATCGAGAATATTTTGAGAAATTAAACTTACAGTTAACCACGGTACAGACAAAAAATCGGAGCTGTATACCCGATAGCACATGTCGCCTATTTATTGAGCTTTGAACAGACAATGCCTAGTTAATGCCTTCATGCAAAACGCCGTAGCAAAAGGCTAGATTTAAGAAATATTACAGATTGTGCAACATGACTAATAGATGCCCGAAATTAAGACTCTTACAAAGCCTGGAGATATGTAACATTCCGACTGAGCGGTTTTATATTCGTTTTTTACAAATAAAATTTACGAATACACAAAACACGCGACGTTAATGCTTAAACCACCATACTTTTATTAAAAATAATTCCAACACCACTGGCTGCTCTCGCCACGACCACACCACCCACTACCGAATAAACACTTCACAGACAAGTAAGTCATGTGCATATATGAGCGACACCCATATCTTATCTCGAACGGATAGCAGAAACAGCAATACACCAGACTAGACGGAGCAGCCAAAGCTACTGGAGCCACAACGAGTTCCAGAAATCAAGAGTTATCTCTCTTAAACTGAATGATGTAGGAAACGAGGTACTCTCAATGACATATCGGCATAAACAACATTAGAAAAGGAAGAAGATTGCAAAACCAATCGCTTACACGTATTTTAACATACACAATGTTGTGGTGTAACACCACTGTCCCAGATGAGGGGAGGGTTGAGCGCTCACAAACATTTTTAACCCCGCCACATTCTGTATGTGCCGGTCCCAAGCCAGGAGGAGCCTGTAGTTCAGTGGTTGTCGTTGGTTCATGTCTGTCATATTTGATTTTCTTAAATTGTTTTGTTATAAATAAGGACGTTAGTTTTCTCAATTAAATTATTTCATATTTTTCATGGCGGGGCCTTTTATAGCCGACTATGCGGTATGGGTTTTTCTCATTGTTGAAGGCCGCACGGTTGCCTATTATTGCTTACATCCACTTCATTTGAACTTTGGTGGATAGTTGTCTCATTGATAATCATACTACACCTCACAATATACGTTAAGGCAACATAATTGATAACTAGAATAGTACTATAAAGAAAATTTAAAAGAGAACAGCATCCAAATAAGAAAATATAAAGAAGTTGAAGAACGTTTTTTAGTAATGAAATATTGAAAGCTGAATAATACATTTATTTATATATATACATATTAACTTTTTCAAATAAAGAGCCCAAAAGAGTAAACACTTTCAATGTTTTTGATTTTAACGATTTAGTAAAATAGCACCCTTGTAAATACTCCAAACTGCAGTTTCATATTATTATACAAGAATTATTAAAACTTTCGTTAAATGTTGATTAATCCAGCGTTGCACGTACTAATTGCCTCATCATACACCAAATAATCCAGGTATTTTTTGTGAATCTAATGTATATATAAAAAAAAATTTGTAGGACAGGAATCATTCACGGAACGTTCAATAGAAGAAATATGTGAGGAAAACCTCATCGTTCTAATGTTATTCCAACCATATTGATCAGTCTTCAACACCCACACAAAAATCAATTACACAGCTCTTGTATCTCTGGCAACATTAATTATATCATAGACGTCATAAAAACTTTGACATTATTTTATCGATTGTAAGAAGACATACATATTTACACGACAGTACAACAGTTTACAGGTGTATACAGTGACAATATGTGATAAGAACTAACGAGAAATCTCTTGTTTCGGAATAACTTCCATTTGTGGTCGTTTAAACAATTATTCCAATCTAAAATGGCCGCAATATACGTCTCCTTATGTGTTATTCTAGGAATCGCTTCCACAATTAATGGACGACCAAGGACTGAGGATGAACGAGTAATGATTGATGAATTTTTACCTGCGTTACTGGACAGATTACAGGTAATAAAACATCTGGTTGTTATTTTGACATTTAATTGTCTGACCTCTCATTGTAATTTGTGTTGAAACCTATCTATGCAGAAATAGTATCACTAAATATCCCTTTTCAAGTGACCAACTTCCCAGCTTTAGGACAAACCAAATGTATAACAAGTAGTCCTTTCCGGGTAATTGACTTCTGGTATAATCTTTTCTCTTGTTGAAAAATTTAGTGTACCATTAGATATTACATTTTTATTGGCAATTATAATAGATGAAATCAGGAACATATATATTGTTAGATATACTGTTACCAGATGAAATGTAGCTAAATCATTATTAAAAAATCATCCGTAGAGGTAATCGTATACAAATTATATAAAATAATAACTACAGTTAGTCCAGACGATAAAACTATCAGATATATTGCATATTTAAAATTACTCGTTTCTATAAAACATTCTGCAGATATTTGTTTATGTTTGCGAAGATATTATTTTTAAAGCTGTATTTTTTGGCAGTAACAAAATACCCTTAACGAAATAAAAAATAAATTTACAAATCAATCATAAAAAATAAAAAAAATAATATACAAAGAGGTGAAACCGGCGATTTAACATCTGTTTCCTTTTGTAACTACTATCATATAAACAAATTAAATCACGATTTTATTTACTAGTTACAGATTAACCATACAGTAAAATGGATGGGCAACGATTGACAATATTATGTATTAAAATATCAATTATAAATATTTTCTCAGTATGTTTTACGTCTTTAATATTTATTCTCTTTAGAATAATCCTGAATATGCATTCCTGTTAGACAGTGACAGTCCGTTAAAGTCAACCAGGCAAAAAAATTCTCCTGTCCAGCAACAGGAAAATTGGCCTGAAAACAACCTGAAGCTAGGTCAGGTTGCTGGTGTTGCCGTTGACAACAATGGAGACGTTCTAGTATTTCACAGAGGTGATCGTGAATGGGGAGCACGGTAAGCAAGTATTAGATATGTTTCACTACAAGACGACTTTTTAAACACAACTGCAAAACTGTTTTCGGGGACAAAGTTCAACAAAGACAGACAAAGCCAGGATTACAACAATGAGTTGACAGAGAAAACCTTTTACTTAACATGAAATATATGGCTAAGCATATGCAGTTCTAAATCATTCATTGTAGATTAATTGTTGTATGACTAACGTCCAGTTGCAAATAGTTCTTGCATAGGTGGGACGAGAATAAATTAACAATAAATCAATTAGGAAGGTTCTGGTCTTAGGGAGGGATAAATCCTAATTTGTAAAAAATCACTCTGATTCTAACAAAAAATTCTCTGAAACTGACATTATCAAGATGCTTGATTTCTTGATTGACAACATATTTGTTACGTTTGGAGTACGTGTTTTTCAACAAACAATAGGCATTCCCATGGGAACCAACTGTGTCCCTCTTCTTGCCGACTTATTCCATTATTCATATGAGGCTGACTTCATACAGGAACTTCTTAGGAAGAAAGAAAAGAAGTTAGCAGTATCCTTTAAAACTTTACTTTCCGCTACATAGATGATGTTCTCTAACTAAATAATTCAAAATTTGGTGACTATGTTGAACGCATCTATCCCATCGAACTTGAGATAAAGGATACAACAGATACAGTTAAGTCTGCCTCATATCTTGACTTACATCTAGAAATTGACAATGAGGGTCGGTTGAAAACAAAACTTTATGACAAAAGAGATGATTTCAGCTTCCCAATTGTGAACTTTCCATTTTTATGTAGCAACATTCCAGCAGCGCCTGCATACGGAGTATATATCTCCCAATTGATACGATACTCCAGAGCTTGTATTTCCTATCATGATTTCCTTGATAGAGGGTTGCTGCTTACAAGGAAGCTATTAAACCAAGAGTTCCAAGTGGTGAAGTTGAAATCATCCCTTCGTAAATTTTATGGACGCCATCACGATTTGGTTGACCGTTACGGAATATCCGTTTCACAGATGATAGCGGATATGTTCCTAATGTCGTAACTAAAATCCTGTTCCCTTTTCCCGAATGTGACCTACCGAATTAGACTTATTACCGGGTTTGTACTAACATGAGCAACACGACGGGTGCCACATGTGGAGCAGGATCTGCTTACCCTTCCGGAGCACCTGATTTCACCCTTAGTTTTTAGTAGGGTTCGTCTTGCTCAGTCTTTAGTTTTCTATGTTTTCTTTTGTGTACTGTTGTTTGAATCTTTGTCTTTTTTTAGCCATGGCGTTGTCAGTTTATTTTCGACTTACGAGTTTGAATGTCCCTTTAGTATCCTTCGCCTCTCTTTTTCTGAAAATATATCTATTGTGATAAAGGGCGGACAATTTGGATTGCAACTTGATAAAATAGGGTTGAATAGTTGATTGGGACCGAAGTTTTGCCTTGCGACAGGCTATCTACGGACTCCATGCATTTGTTTCAAGTGTTCCTTAACGAGCGTAGAAATCTCCCTATACGAGGCATCGGATTTAAAGTCCCCATCCAATTGAACATGGCATGGGGTTTAATGCCAGACGGTAGAAATCCTGGTGATATTTTGTTTACCACAGTCACCGTTATTCTTCCTTCCTAAGTGACGTATGTTTACTGGAGAAATTGAAATGCTTTAGCATCCCCAGAAAAAACCCAATCTATTTGATAAATTGTTATGGTTTTTAATTTATGTTTTGACAACCAGTAGAAAACAAATACATTGATTATTTATCAGATTATCAGACTTTATTTAAGGTTATTTTGAATTTAAATATAGAATTTTAGCGATTAATAATGTTCTTTTTTTCCCTGTTTCAGATCTTTTGATTACAACAACGAACTTTCTCAAATTGAACAGAATAAAGGACCTATCAGGAATGCTACCATCCTCAGACTGAACCAGAATGGAACTGTTATTCAACGCCTTGGAGCTAATAGGTGCTAATACACGTTTCTATACTTAAAATACTAGAATAACATAGACTAGGTTATGGCCGACAAAACGCTTGGTTAAACTATTGCACCCACGAGTTTACCATTTGGCTAGTGAATCAATGATACTAAAGTTTCTTACTCCAAGTTAGACTATGGTACTTAATTTTCTTAATGGTGAAACTAACTGATAGATGCTAAAATATATAACTCAACTCTAACTAAATAAAAAGTTGTAATTAAAATACATGTTATTCAAATAACATTGAAAATAAAGTTCATTGGTATCCCATAAGGTCAAAGATTCATCCAGCACAAAGTATAAGAAGCTGCAGGGTGTTTTGCATACCGAGTATGATTGGTAATTCGGGTTGTCCTTCTCATTGCAATTTCCGTATTTATACATATTCTGATTAAAATAACATTTGACATTTGCTGTGAAAAATGACAATGGCCTCTAAAGGAATATAGTTAACAAACTAAATTTTGAAATAATTTGACATTGATTTATATGACACTTAATTAATCATATAAATGATTGAAAAATACTTATCTAAGAATTTTTAAAAGAAAAAAATTGATATGGGATGTACATATTTTTGGTAAAATCATTTCTTTGTACCCCTCATCCATTTTTTTGAACACTTTGCATTGGCTGATGACACTGACCGGATTGGTTATAATTTTTGAAAATTTTATTACTCATAAACTACTTATTGTAAGTACACAATTTTTTCACAGAGTTAAGTTTGATTATAATATTTTTTAAATTCATTAATATTTTCCACTTGTATCACACGTTTTGGAAATAACTCCCGAACGAGATTTCAACGAGACTGAAACATCAGAAGAATACATCATTAAGAGATGGGTTGCTGTCTAGTTGACATTATTCTTAATGCAGCAAGAATCCTGCAATCTGATCGGTTAATTACCCGGATGTAAATAACACCCCACCCTTGTTCACCCGGAATAAAATTTTGATAAATAAATCTAAACCCAAAAAATTAAAAATTAAGCAAAACTTAAAAAGACAAAAAAAAAAAAAAAAAAAAAAAAAAAATGGGTAAAATAAAAATTAAAATTAAAAAAAAAAAAAAAAAAAAAAATAGGGAAGAATAACCCCGAAAAAAAAAAAAAAAAAATGTTTCACAAAAAATTAAAAAACATGAAGAAATAAAATTAAAAAGGGTAAATTATTTGACAATGCACAGCAATATCGGTGTGGAAAAAATGTTTTAGTGGAAGTTCTTCACAAGCACTCTTAAAATTTTTACATCCCGGTATAAAAATGAGTAAAGGAACACTTCATAAAAAATAAATTCGTTATCTTGGTGTAATCAGGGTAGTACGAAATTCTACAATGGCGTTGAAAATACATATACCCTTCGGCTGCGCCTCAGGGTGTATGAATTTTCCACACGGGTGTACAATTCTGTACACCCTAATTACACCAAGATAACTAATGTTATCCCTTATCTACTATTATTCATATTTTGTCCCATCAGTATAAACGTGGGATTAATTGTAGAAAAATTTATTGAATAACATAATAAGTCATTTACTTCATATTACTAGCATATTGTAAACAAAAGTTAATATGTAACGATGGCATTTTTGTAAAATAAGGAAACTCAAGCCTTGAACAAAGAAATATTGGTAATTTGATTGAACAAACAATGTTTTTAATTTAGATCAAAATAGATATCGTGCACTTTGCTTAGATTTCGACATGTAATATAAATTGTCATGAAATATATCTTTTGTTATAATTGGCTGTAAAATGTGTCAATTTAAAGTAGCTTCCTCTGAAGGTAATAGAAGCTGATGTCCCTGACAGAGATCTGGTTTTTAATTCTTAGTTTGTAAAGCCAATGTTGTCTTCGTTAAATTTTACTGTATAAGCCAGATGGAATACAAAATTAAAGTAGAACAAACTAAAATTTTATTTATAGAAATAAGTAATTTCTGTTTAAAATTTTAGGTTTTTTATGCCTCATGGATTAACCGTTGACCAAAAAGGAAATCTGTGGGTTACTGATGTTGGTTTACACCAGGTAGGTAATATGCAGGTCTTTAATCAATGGTTGGGAATTAATATTTCTCGAGTGTATCCCCGCCATAATCGTCTCGTGTTAGTTACTCTCCTTAGTCCGTTCGACGGATATCCGATTGGTTCAAACTAAATGCTCTAAAATTGGTATTTGTATCTTCTCTCTTATGTGAATTAGAGCAAACTTAAGACTGGTCGACTTGAAGTCAGATGTAATAATGTTGTCTTCTTATTTCTTGTGGATTGGTACATAGTGCATCTTGTGATCTAGAACTTTAAGAATCGTTGCGGTCTATTGCATTACACGCTGTATAGAATCTTCACTGGAATACGCATGCTCGGATATACCCAACATGGCTGCGCCTAGGTTAAGACTGTTCACACCATGTAAGCGCTGCCGATGCACCAAATTAATAAACTGTTATTTTGATTCACTTCGGATCGAGGCAACATGTCTGCGCCATTTAATAAACGATAATTACCAATGAAAACTTACGTGCTGTTAGCAACTGGTGCAGAAATGTTGGCGCGATTCAATCATACATATACCGGTTTGGATTTCATGCAATGAATTAGGCTAAATTTATGATTCCCATAAAAATTTTATTGTCATAAATACGCATGTAATGTCTGCACTGAACAATGAGCTGCCACTGGAAAATACGTATCAATCTGTCAAGCAATCAAATGTATCAGTAACATTGTTATCAGTTCATCTTTTCTGTTTTGGCTGTGAGTGTTTCCGGTTAATACAAAAGAAGAGCATCTACATTATATTTAGTTCACTCGGATTTCATGATTTGCTCAAAATACTCACAATAAAAGGCCGAAACATTTAAAAATTTTCACCATTTTTTTTTCAAATTAAAGTTTTTCTGTTAAATGTTTATTCAGTTCGATTCTTTTCTTTCTTTTTATCTTAATCAGACTTTCATTTATGAAAAACAATTTTATAACCATTATCTTTTTTAAAAGGTAATAAAAATACCAGCGGACCCAAAAGATTCTGGGCTTGTTCTTGGTGAAGCCATGAAACCCGGAAGTGACAGTGAACATTTCTGTAAACCAACTGATGTTGCCGTTGCTTCGAATGGACATTTCTTTGTATCTGATGGGTAAGGGATTAATTGTTAAAAGGGTAGGGTTAAATTAGATCTGTATATATTTCACTATAGAGCTTTTTTCAATGCGCGTATTTCTACGATACCTGTATTATTTTTGGTTGCTATACGGGTCGTGTCTCATATGCAAGTCTTTTTTTCTTGGAGAGTGACATACTTCTTAGTAACCACTAATTTAAGGAAAATTCAAATAGATTCTTGGTAACCACTAATTTAAGGAAAATTCAAATAGATTCTTGGTAACCACTAATTTAAGGAAATAGAATTCTGCATGTGAACTTCAATGGGATAATTTCTCGTATCTTGTAATTAAAATCTGACATTATTACCGGTTTTGCCATGATTTTGGTCATGATAATAACTACTGGGTGTGACTTTGGAATCATGTGACAGGTGAAGCATGTATATTAGTAAATGCACACGGTGCTTCTGAGGTCACTCCGCTTAAGGTTCATACGAAATCGATTTTCATTTTTTGCCACTGTTAGCTTGGTTTTTGATATTAAACGTAAATCCGCATATTTCCTTTAAATTGTAATTACAATACAGATCAGTAATAGACATTTTTGTTTGTTAGGGTAAAGTTAAAAGACCAAAGTTTAAACAGAAGATTGGCAAGCTTTGACAATATAAAAGGGTCAGAGTTTGTCCCATTTGTTAGAATGTAGGCGTAAATTTACATGTGGTAAAGCGTGTCAATAAAATAAAAAAAAACCCTGAATATTGTATATGGCGTTGTTTTTTTTTTTAAATCGGGCATGGATTTTTTTTCTCAGGACAAACAATTTGTTTGGACTTTAACAAATGTGGACACAGATCAGTGTGGCTAGCTATATATATATATAGTCCAAAAGACCAAATGAGTGAAAAAGTATATTTTAACAAAACGCATTTGATATATATATATATATATATATATATATATATATATCAAATGCGTTTTGTTAAAATATACTTTTTCACTCATTTGGTCTTTTGGAAAATGTTGTTTGTGCTGTTTTTAGACCTCTCTACCAAGAAATTTGTTTTGCATGCACACGTATAAAAATTGCGGTTTTTATCCGACGCAATCATAGGTTTGAACGTTGTTTTCAATTTAGACTTGTTTATATATATATATGTATGATTTGAATGTTTGACATTGTTTTCTGACAAAAAAGTTTTCTATGTTTTTTGTTCGTAGCGTTCTATGTTGAACTATGTTCGACAGTGACAGCTAGACTGAATATCAAAATTGGTAGAAGAACACATTAGGTGCATTTTTTGAATGATATGACAATAGAGGGACAAGAGATATCTGACAACAATAGATTTAAATTTGTAACTTAGTGGACCGTATAAAGTGAAACTCAGTTGTTTGTTTATTTCATCATCTTCTGAAGGACTAAGAAAAAGTGCACAGCAAAATTCAGCGAAGTTTTTAATTTTCTGAAACATAAAATGCATTTGAAATTTAATATACCTAGGGCATGCTATGCCTTAAATTTTTCCACATGCACAGGTTTGTCTGCACTCAGAGTAGATTACACCTTAAAATATACTCTTGACTACAGACAAACTGTGCATCTGGGAATATTTTTGAGGTATGCCCTAGATAAATAAAATTTAAATGCATTTTATGTTTTTAGAAAGTTAAAAACTCAACTGGATTTTGCTAAGCACTTTTCTTTTGTCCCTGCAGAAAATGATAAAATTAACAAACGCTTGAGTTTCACTTGATCTGGTCCACTCAGTGACACAGTTTAAATCAACAATTGTTGTCAGATATCTACTGTCCCTCTAGTGCCCATGTCAATCAATACAGTTCACTTCAATTATGATCTATGGAGAAGTTCTCAAACCTCTTTCCCAACTTTGCTTATTTCGGCACGTTCTGTATGAACGAAAAAAGTGCACAGCAAAATCAAGTTAAGTTTTTAATTTTCTAAAACATAAAATGCATTTGAACTTTATATATATCTAGGGCATGCTATGCCTTAAAAATATTACAGATGCACAGGTTTATAAAAATAAGAAGATGTGGTATGATTGACAATGAGACAACTCTCCACAAGAGACCAAATGACACAGAAATTAACAACTAAAGGTCACCCTACGGCCTTCAACAATGAGTAAAACCCATACAGCATAGTCAGCTATGAAAGGCCCCATCGGTACTCATATAGTAAATTTTGAGGGGTAAACACTGCCATTTTAGCTATAAGGTCCACATGAACCTTAAACTCTTTAATGTACATGCATGTACTTCCAACACTTTTTATTGCTTTCAATTTAAGATTAAAAAATATGGAAGGCGATATGACAATTTGCCATTTGGGGAACAAAATTAATTCTACGCCAGTCACTGTTTATTTTATTAGAGAAAGTAAACTCTTTTTTTCACAAGCACAGTGTACTGTCTAATTTTACACCTATAAAGAAATTAAAAGAAATAACATCAAATAACGTATAATAAGATGGATTGCCCGAATCACAGGTACAGTAGAACTGGCTAGACTTATAAATACAAGTACCATGTAATTTTAGTACGTTTTTTTTACACTTGTAACATGTTAAAATCAGTTGAAAACAACTTTTGTTTTAAAATTGAAACGAGAAGCCAAATGTAATCTGTTACCTAGTCTTTATCTTCCTCGTCTAGCAGGAGCTCCGCTTTCAAAGGGTTATGATTTGCATCGTTAATCCTTACACATAGAGCACTCTTAGTGAAAGTCGGTATACAGTGTTTGTACATGTACATAAATGTAAAATTAAAAGTTCACCACGTTTGCAATAACTCATTTACAGCATGCTGAATATTCAATCACCACATATATGAATGTAGATACGATAACGCACGTTATACGTTAGAACATATAAAATATAAATAAATTAATACTTAAAACCTCCAATACTCAAGCCAATCGATGATCAATATGTGAGCAAGAACTCTGCAACTCACCAACAAATTTCCATACACTAACAACGATATCCAGTCCTTTTATGAAAATATTTGACTTAAGATTCATGTGAACCCTTTGGCTACAATGGCTTTGTTTACACCACAAAATTTACTCTGAGTGCAGAAATTTTTTATTACATAGTATGCCCTAGATATATAAAATTCAAATGCATTTTATATTCCAGAAAATTAAAAACTTAACTGGATTTTGCTGTCCACTTTTTTTTCATTCCTGCAGAAGGTGCCAAAATAAACAATATTAAGTAGATATGGTTTTAGTGAACTTATCTTAGTCAGATGCTGCTGCATGGATAAATATCCCGTGCCATTTGTCATTGATCGATTCTAAAGAAACTATCATATTGATTCGACAAAGTAGCATATAAATTAAACCTTTATAATTTTAAAACAACAACATCAATGGAATCCTTTTTATTGTAGATACTGTAACGGCAGAGTAATGAAGTTTACTAAAGATGGTATGCTAATTAAATCATGGGGAAAACCATCAAACAGTAAGTAAAATATATGCGTATTTATTATATTTAAAAAAATCTTTTGGCTTAGTTTATTGAACATCTGCTTTGATGTCCTGTAACTTTTTTGAAATCCCGAGTTTCTTTTGAAAACTAGATAGTAACCCACTTTTGCAAGCGCGGACAAAAAGAACACTTTAGTATTTATTGTGATAGGTGGTGGTCAGCGCAGCAATAGATGATATTTTCGAGTAGGTGAGAAATATGATCTACATAAAAAATGTTTGTTTTGCAGGACGAATATGTGTCGCCCTTCAACATCTCATTGGTCCGACACCCCATTTGTCCCACATAGGCCGACAGAGATAAAAATTGAAAATCTACTTCATAGAATCGGTTCACCTGGTATTTGAAATAGTGGCTACTCTCTCTTCTGAGAAGAGAAAAATGACAGCACTTCCCATCTGGTATGTAAGAAATACCATGACCCTTTAAATATATTGATTGATTGTTGTTAGCTTAATGTCCAATGACAAATATTTCATAAATGTTCATGCAGAAAGAGAACAAAATTAACGATATATACAATAAGTAGGTCCTGTAATAGGGGTTTCGACCGAGTTGATAGGCGGGAAATTTGGAATGGTACTGGAAAATGAGAGAAATTTAACCTTGCAACAGGTCACCTACACACTCCTCAAAGAGTTGTTGCAAGGGCTCAACGTACAGAGAGCAAGGCACTATTTAAACGAGGCATCGGATTAAACGTTCCCACTCTGACTGGACGGGGCTGTGAATATATACATCCCGCAGAATGACGACCCACTTGGGAAAGGGTTTGAATGCCAATTGGAAAAAGACGAAGAAAAGACCATACGTCTGTGACCTAGCTATTTCATAAAAAAACATTCCGCTGGAAAGATAATTTGAAGAAAAGTCTCTCGTCTTAATGGAAAATATCCAGCGGACCGCATATATCCGTCGAAACGATCAAAGCCGAAAAAAGAAGATTAAAGATGAATAGATCGAAAACTTTAAAGAATAAAAGTCAAATTATCGATAGTAAAATTGTACAATCGATACTATATGGTTCTTATATTGATACTTTATTCAGATTGAAACTCAATTAAAATGGTTGACATTTACCATCAGAATGGACTGAAAGTGAATATTTGCTGAACATTTCCCACTGGACGTTAACAAAACAAAAATCTATCAATCACAGAATGGTTGGGACTATACTCCGACAACAATGATTTAAAAGAATGCAGTCAGGTGAAATTAAACAACTTCTGAATTTAAAATTGATACCATAATTATAAGTCAGGAGAGCATTAGTTAGGGAACAAAATAAGCTAAAAATATTAATAGGTTATGGAACCTTTTTTTCGAGATATTTGATTTTTTAAAAAGGGCGGGAAAAGGCCGACTCGGAGTTTTACCTTATATTTGGCATTGGCGTTATTTGGGTTTCAAATCATAAGAAAAGAAATCTGGAATCTGCTTAAATTTTGGTAATGACCTTTTATGAGCTATTGAAGTCTTCTATGAAAAGAAAAGTGGATGATATGGGGCATCTGACAAAAAATCCTAATCCTGACATGACTACATCCTTAAATGTTTTTTTTTTATTACATATTCACTTAAATTCAAACTCATAAAAACAAAACAATACTTTATCGGTGTTTTGTTTTTACTATAGCTAATAATTGATTAACGGTAAAAATTTTAATACGTTGAACTGCATAAGCGAACACACTATTTTCAAATATTTTTGTAACAACACACAAGGACAATGGCACAAATGAAACAAACACAATACTTTTGATGCATTTTTAACGTGCTTCTAATAACGGGCATTTTATTCAATCTTTGCTCTATCTTCTCAATGTCGTTTGCTTAGCATAGAAGTAGCAAATTGGAAGAATCGTTTGTTTGATGCGACCGCGGATCACAAGAATGTTGTAAATCATTTGAGAGAAAACAAATCCGGGTTACAAACTAAAACCGAGGGAACACATCAACTATAGGAGGAAAACAAAGGAACAATAGGAACACTGAAGTGCAACAAAAACAAACGCCAACATACATAGAAACGAACTATTTGATAACAACTACCATATTCCTGACTTGGTAAAGGACATTTAAAAAAAAAGTGGTGGGTTGAACCTGGTTTTATGGCTAGCCAAACCTCCCGATTTTTTGACTCATCACAGAGAAACGCACAAAAAAATAATAATAGTCGACACAACATGCAAACCGCAGAACATCAACGAACATCTTCCATCAACGACAGACACCACAGGACATCGAAAACAGTGACGCACTTACGTAAAGAACATGCAATATCGAACTTTATACAAATATTTTCACAATACCAGTTCAAACAATTTTCATGACAATGATGGTATTGAAAGGCAATTTTATAATAATTTGGTCTTCAAACGATAAGAAATAACACATTATTCAAACTAAATCATAACAGAAACATCATAACTAAATACATGAATGTTGGATGTACAAACTACCGAGACACGTCGTATAGCAATGCAAATTCAAACTCGGTATAAAAGTCATATTCGGTACTTAGCAGACAGACGACATAGATGTTAAACCACAATCTAAGACGTGGTGAAAATGTCATTAGTTAGTTTAGACACAGACACATCGTATAGATCAATCAATTCGTGATGGTGTCCATAAAATTTACGGATTGTCATTTTTAATCTTTCCTCCTCATTGGAGTAGTTTCTGCGTAAGGAGCACACTCCTGTATATGAAGTCAGTAAAGTGTGAACATGCACGAGCATAACGTATCAATTGAGATATGTAAACACCATACGACGGAGCAGAGGGTATATTACTGCTGAGAAATGGGAAATTGATAATTGGGAAGTTGCAATCATCCCGTTTGTCATAGATTTTAGTGTGAAGTCAGTGTCAATATTGAGGAAAAGATCAAGGTATGAAGCAGTCCTTCTTGTATCAGTAAAATTGAGAATGGAAATGGGGAATATGTCAAAGAGACAACAACCCGACCAAAGAGCAGACAACAGCCGAAGACTAACAAAGGCCAGAAGCTCCTGACTTGGGACAGGCACAAAATGCGGCGGGGTTAAACATGTTTTGTGAGATCTCAACCCTCCCCTATACCTCTAGCCAATGTAGAATAAAGAAACACATAGCAATACGCACAGTAAAACTCAGTTCAAAAGAAGTCCGAGTCCGATGTCAGAATAGGTAAAAAAAAGAAACTAAGCAAAATGACAATGATACATGAATGAACAAAGGACTACTAGCAGTTACTGACATGCCAGCTCCAGACCTCAATTAAACTGCTTGAAAGATTATGTCTTCATAATATGAAAATCAAGTACAATCCCTCCCGTAAGGGGTTTAGTATCATACCATCATAAAATATATGAGAAGAACATAACCCGTATCATTCCAATAAATGATTTTAGAATAAATGTGTTTATTTCCGATGCAAAGACCCTATGAGTGAATCAATATTAATACCAAAATATGCAATCCTTAATGACTTGACAACAGTATCGTAACTATATCCTTTCCGAATAAGTCTGTTTAAAGGTTTGGTTAGCTTTTGAGGTGAATGCCGACATTTTTGTGCTTTGTAAAGAATATTACCATAAAATATTAGATGTGAAATACCCGAACGTATAATCCTTACGAGATGCAAGTACTGACTGAAAAATGGGCTATTCAGTGATAGGACATCATCAATATATATCTGAAAGTGAAATTAAAGAATTTTGCAAGGTGCTTTATCTTTTTGTCTTTTAGAAGGTTCTGAATGAATTCTGCTTCATACGAGTACAAAAACAAGTCGGCCAGAAGGGGTGCAAAATTAGTACCCATTGGAATACCGACTGTCTGTTGAAATATCATTCATCCAAACTCAACAAATATATTGTCGATTAAAAAGTCCAGCATTTTGATAATATCATCTTCACTGTATTTTCTGACAGAATCAGTGTGGTTCTTCACAAAATAAAAATTATCATAACCCAAAACAAGAAATTTATATCTACGATTCCCATTTTTATAGAAAAAGCTCTGTTTAATGAGATGGTGAATTCGATCTTTCAATTGAACATGGGGAATAGTAGTGTAAAGCGTAGAAAACTCAAAGGTCTAAATGATGCTGCAAAATTGCAGAGATTGTGATCTAAGATTTAACATCTGTTGTGCTGTTACACCACTTTCTCATGATAGTGGGGTGGTTGAGCCCTCATAAACATGTTCTTTATATGCCTTTCCTAAGTCAGGAGCCTGTAATTCAGTGGTTGTCGTTGGTTCACGTCTGTCATATTTTTTTTTCGTGAATTGAATTGTTATAAATTAGGTCGTTGTTTTTCTCGTTTTAAATGTTTCACATTTATCATGTCGGGACCTGTTATAGCTGACTATGCAGTATGGGTTTTTCTCATTGTTGAATGCCGTACGGTGACCTATATATCCTTCATCTTATTATTTGAACTCTGATGGTTGGAAATCATACCACATCTGCTTATCTCTTTATCAACCAGCGGTGCTCATCAAATAAGGAATCTTAAAAGTTTGACGATTTGTTCCAAAATCATCAACAACAATAATTTCACAATTGCAACAATATGAAGACTTTTTATTTTTCTATACTCTGCACCATGCCCACATTGATTTGTTACTACCCTAACGGTTGATTTGGGTATACACACATGAGTAAATTGATTTCTCTCAATCGTCTCGACACCATGCTGAAGAGAGGATTCCGTTTGAATGTGCGGGTGTATAAATAAACAGTGATTTCTGGTCGGAATTTGGACACAACATCCGATGCATTGTGTTAGGAAAATGTCGCACTTTCTACATGTTAAACAAACCTTCCAGCAACTCTTTGAGGGGTCAGTAAGTGTTCTATTGCACGATGAAATTCTTACCATATTCAACACATCCCTATTTGCCACTGTCAGTACAAATATTCTGCCACTGCAAATTCTTCCGATTTATATATAGTATTGTTATTTGTTGTTGTAATAAATATGCATGATTTATTTTTTTGTTAGATCCTGTAGAGTTTGCAGCTGATGATGAACTGTTTATTCCTCACAGCATCACACTGATCGAAGAATCAAATTTAGTAGCTGTGGCAGATAGGGAACATGGGCGGTAATTCAAAATTCTAGCTTTACATAAACAAAAGATATGGATATGCTTCTATTTCAACAATACGCATGTTTTAACATCATGTTAATAGTTTATTTCCCAATTACCGATTCACTTTTGTTATTTCACACTTTTGACACATTTTGTTTCCCTATTTCAATTGTAGAATGTTTCTAAACCTTACAAACTGGGTTTCTGCCCGTGCAAAGCATTATAAGTTGATAGTGATATATAGGAATTTTTACCAAATTTTATTAAAAAATAACTTTCGATATCACTTAACGAAACATTCAGCAAAGGTAAAGTTGCCCTTCCGCTAGCTTTTCGTTGTCAATGACACTTTATGTCCTTCCTAAGAGAAACAGTTCGTTTAAATTTATCACTTATTAAAGGCTTAATTACGGAATTGGCAAATAAAATATTCTTATGATTAAAATGTGTACATAAAACAGAACTTACATTAATCAAATGAACTTTCTGTTTTAGCTATATTCATTGTTGAAGTTACATTGTTTACATTGTAGGTTAAATATATGTATCATATCTTAAAGCAGAGGCTCCCTGGAGCTAGTAACTGTATGACTGGTGTCATAAGTTAATTTAACAGTTCAGAGTAGTCATATTGATGGGATTGGCAAAAATTTTTAATCTTATTGTTTATGAACACAAAACACAATGCCAAAACTAACCAACCCAAAACTGGTTCCAATTATCAAAATTACTCTCTAATAAGATTTTTCCTTTATCTATTATTTAAAGAAACATAAATTATATCTTCAGATTTCCTAAATGATCGTTCATCTAATCTAGATTTTTTTATTTTGACGCAATTTAATTGTTCAATAATAATTGACCCCTATGAATTGTCTTTTTTCAGAATTCAGTTATTCACAGCAGGAATCGCCGATCCAAACGATACGGGTAGATTTGTAAAGAGTATTTCAAACTCTAGATTTGGAAGAGTATTTGCGATTTCATACGACCCTACAGGTATTTTTTTCATTTTAATAATCATTATAATAATTATAATAATTCAATCATTGTTTTGTCGGATGGGGTGATGTCTCTGGAAATTTGATGTAAAACAACAATAACATTTCCTCTTATTTATCAATGCCACTAATTTTTGTAGGAAAAACAAATCGAAAGCGTGTTCAGGTTTATCTTATTAATAATGATAATCTTTATTTTCATACAAACAAATTAAAATGTTTGTGACAAAAACACAGGAAAGAAAAAGAGAAAGGTCATTGGAAGTTTCCACAATGTTTGGTTTGCAAAAATTAGAGCCTTTCAAAATATCATAGAAAAACATGAGAAACAAATTTCACAATTGAACGCACAATATATTTGAAAATGACATCTTTCGGCGTTAAACAATACAGCGGCTTTCGGAATAGCTGAATACTTTTTGGTTGAGGACTGAACTTTTTCGTATAACATTAGAAATAAATATTGATTAAACAAACAATATACCTACCATTCTAAAATTTAGTGAAGGCAAGATGTATACAAACGACCAATATACTTACCATTCTAAAATGTACTGAAGGCAAGATGTATACAAACGACCAATATACTTACCATTCTAAAATGTACTGAAGGCAAGATGTTTACAAACGACCAATAAACTTACCATTCTAAAATGTAGTGAAGGCAAGATGTATACAAACGACCAATATACTTACCATTATAAAATGTAGTGAAGGCAAGATGTATACAAACGACCAATATACTTATCATTCTAAAATGTAGTGAAGGCAAGATGTATACAAACGACCAATATACTTACCATTATAAAATGTATTGAAGGCAAGATGTATACAAACGACAAATATATACCATCTAGATTTAAGATGTATAAATAAAAATGAAATCAGAAGAAAACAAAACCATAGCATATAGATGACATGTCTTATTCATAGTAGATTGTAAAGTTCAAAAATATAAAAAAAATCATCAGGTTAAAATATTGAATTAACAAGTTGAAATTAATTTTTAGTTTAGGAAAGAAATTTAATTTTTCGGATAAAAGAATTTCGTAGACAAATATATGAAAATAAAGGTATTTTTAGGAAACATGATTAAGAAATTAAATTCCTTTATTAGATTAGACATTTCCATTTAATAGTTTAATACGACTTATTGTATAAGCTTCAAGTATTAGAAGACATAACACATCGTATATCAAACTTTTACACCCAACCTGCAGTAAATTAAGATCATCATTAAAGTCTATGTTCTAAATCTCATTATCTTCGAACACTTTCATTTAAATTCACCTCTTCCGATTTATCTGCCACTTACACTCTCGGAGATTTTCTGGATCCGCCCCTGTATATTGTATGTTAAGTTGACATATGCATGATGTTGATGCTCTCATAATGTTTTTTATAGACAAAATGTTATATGTTGTTAATGGTCCAACTGGTCAAAACAAAGTGGCAGGTTTTACTGTTGGTTTAGATGGCAATATACGTGATACATGGGGACCAAGGAACATGGTAAGTTGATAGGACATATTGATAATATTGTAGGATAAGCATAGATACAATGGAAAGTTATTCCTAATGTTTTGTTGATCATCAATGAACAAAAGTGTGCAGGATTAAGAAGCACCGGATGCATAAGTATATTTGATTCGGAATGAAATTATGTAAAATCTGCTACAGGTTAAACTGCATACAAAAATTATGAAATTCGTTTTCAAGACCTCGATTATCTATGTGAAATGTATTGGAAAACAGTTGATTTTGGTTTTTTTTTATAGGAAACTGAATATTTATGAATGCATTGAGTTATGAAAACAAAACCATTTAAACGGACGCATAAAATTCATAAAGTGTTATTTTCATCATTAATTAGTAAAACGTTCTGAAATAAAGCGGTTTCATATTCAGTGAATAATACAAGTTAGGAAAATAACATTGCTGATAAAACTGCATTATATATATCATGTATACCTGGTATTTGTTGTAGAATTTTGACGAACCTCACGATGTAGCAGTATCTCCTGATGGTCATCATGTTTATGTAGCAGAGATACGCCCTAACAGGATAACTAAGTTTAACAAATAAAAATTGTTGTTGTTATGTTTGATAATGGTTGAGAAAATTCTTTATTAAATGTTACATTCTTTATCCAATGTTAAATTTTACAATGTTAATGCAAGTTCTGAACGAACTAGATTATGATATTTAGAAATTTATATTTTTTGTTTCAATTTAAAAAGATAATATTTCAATTGCTTTTAGGGTAACGCTAACAGACGTTGTTTTCATTGTAGACCTATTAATTGTGAAAAACAAAGTGTTCATGTTTGACTCATTGACCTATTCCTGATCATGTACATTTCGAAAACTTCGTGTCAGTCAATTCAATTACATAGAGCTGCAATCATAGTTATGGCATTTGGGATTCATCAACTCTAGTTTTGGTAACTTCTGAAATGCCAGTAACTACGCTGTGATATTAATTGATATTATTTCGAGCATATGACAAATGAAAATCTATCCTTTATTAGAAAAGACTTGAGTTCAATTTTTTTTTATTTTACCAGACATCTCATCAGGAAGGTTAAAATATTTCCAAATCTACTGATACATTTGAAAAAATATAAAACAAAAATACCGAAATTAACGGTAAATTAAAAAAGGGGAAGTCTATAAATTGACTTTATCAACCAACGGAACGAATGTAAAACAACTGTCAAATTCCTGACTTGCCACATGTATTTTCTGAAGAAATATCTTTTATGAATATATATTTTGACTCATTTAATAATCAATAAATTGATTTGATACTGATAATATTATAAGCCGATAAGACTATAAGTGTTTTAAAAAATGCTCTTTCATACGACTAGTTTTAAGAAGATGACATGGCCGTTATAGTCTAACTTTTGAAAATATAATGTTATACTTTACGGCTGATACATTCCTGAACATTTAGTTAGGAAAAGCCATTGGATGACAGTTCTAAAGTTTGATCTCTTTGGAATATTTATAAACAGAATGAAAATATACATTGTTATAATTGATACATTATAAATTTTACGTATGTACATGGTTGACTTTTTTGGAAATAAATATAGATTGAAATTGTTCTTTTATTATTGTTTTTCTTGATATATATTTTTCAATATATATATAAAAAAAGTAAAATAACAAAAATACCGAACTCCAAGGAAAATTCAAAACGGAAGGTCCCTTATCAAATGGCAAAATAAAAAGCTCAAACACATCAAACGAATGGAAAACAACTGTCATATTCCTGACTTGGTACAGGCATTTCCTATGTAGAAAATGGTGGATTTACCACAATACCACAGACAAATGGGTTCAAATCCCGCTTACAAAAGGATTTTATATTCCTACCCGAATTTGCTAAATGTTAGAATAAGTATATGTGATTTGATGTGTTAAACAGACTTATTAAGAAGGGATATAGTTACGATACTGTTGTGAGGTCATTAAAGATGGCATATTTTGGTATTAATATTGATTCACTCATAGGGTCTTTGCATCGGAAATAAACACATTTATTCTAAAACCAGTTGTTGGCATAAAACGGGTTATGTTCTTCTCATATATTTCATGATGGTATGATACTAAACCCCTAACGGGAGGCATTGTGCTTCATTTTCAGATGATGAAGACATAATCTTTCAACCAGTTTAATTGAGGTCTGGAGCTGGCATATCAGTAACTGCTAGTAGTCCTTTGTTAGTTTATGTATCATTGTCATTTTGCTTAGTTTCTTTTGTTACCTATTCTGACATCGGACTCGGACTTCTTTTAAACTGAGTTTTACTGTGCGTATTGCTGTGTGTTTGTTTTTTCTTCATTGGCTAGAGGTATAGGGGGAGGGTTGAGATCTCACAAACATGTTTAACCCCGCCGCATTTTTGCGCCTGTTCCAAGTCAGGAGCCTCTGGCCTTTGTTAGTCTTGTATGATTTTTAATTTTAGTTCATTTATATGTTTTTGAGTTTAGTATAACGTCCATTATCACTGAACTAGTTTAGGGGCCAGCTGAAGCACGCATCTGGGTGCGGGATTTTTTCGCTGTGTTGAAGACCCATTGGTGGCCTTCTGCTGTTTTCTGTTCTTTGGTCGGGTTGTTGTCTCTTTGACACATTACCCATTTCCATTCTCAATTTTAGTTTCATATCACACTAGGTTTTACGATGGAGGGTTTATTCTGGCTATTCTAACATTTTGAATTTTATAGTTAAATATTAAGGAATTCGTGTTGGAGTTATTGTGTAAACAATTAGATTATATTGGATTATGTTTTTACAACACTTGACTAATTAACCATGGTAAATCTGGGGAAATTTAATAAAAGGAATACTTTGTTTTACAATATTTTATGTCACAATTTCTTAACATACTTGGTAAATAATACATATTGAGCACAACATAGATCAAATACTACAATGTTAGAAATACAAAAAAGTATTAATTTTAGATGAAAACCTTTTCAACTGATATGATTAAATGATATCCAATGAAAATCAAGTTATCAACATATACACAGCAGTACACTGTCATTGAAGTTCAAACATAGTCCTTAAATTTTCGGCAGCACTAAATTCTTAAAAACAGTCCGACATTTTCAGTAGCACTAAATTGTAATTGAAACACAGCCATAAAATATCAGTAGCATTAAATTGTTATTGAAACACACCCCTAATTTCAGGAGCACTAATTTGCCATTTAAACATTCTAAATTGTCATTGGAGCACATCACTAAATTGTCATTTGGGCACAATTAAGAGTCAATTTTCTCTCCCCTAGCCCTATGTGTCCTGTCAGCACTGTTAATTCAATTGGACGTTCCGTTGTTGAGTTAGGGTCACAAAGCGATGTTCACTATGCATGCTATGGTAAATCTAACTACTTTTACCTTCCCCATTTCCATTCTCTATTTTACTTATCAATTTAATTGTATTTTTCGGTAGTTAAATTTTTAAAATTAAAATTGTAACATCTTGATAAATGTGTTTCCCTCATTTATTAAATTTCATTCCTTATTTGATCATTAATTTTATATATATCATAATTTTTGAATTTACCTGTTATTTAATTAGATTCTAATGACTCAAAGTGACGGAGTATTAAAAAAAACAGAATGTTTGTCATAGAGTTGTCAAAAAAATTGAAAATAAATATACTGATGGCAATGCATAGTTAATGTAAACATCCTTGACGACAAAATTACCAAGATGTAACATATGCATTGGTGAAAGTCGCGCAGAAGGAAGAAAACAAGTTCTACTCTAAATTTTCAGATCTAACATTGTTGTGGTTAAATGTCAGACGAAGTCTATATATATATGTTTGCTACCCCAAATTTTCGGAACTATCGCTTTTTGGATAAAACAACCAACCAGCAAACGTAAAAAAAATTGATCGCTTTGAAACGACGATGCTACACAAGCAGGAAAAGATTTGTTCAATGATACAGATAGAAATATATGAATTTTTTAGCATAGAAAGACAAATATTCGGCAATAAATGGCCCTCGTCAATCCAGGTCTGTTTCCGAAAAGAAATAAAACAATCTGATAATTATTTGTGTTCACTTGTATACAATCATTAACGGTTGCATTCTAACTGCAACAAATGCGCATTTCCACAATCAAAGTCTCATCAGTGATGATATAGGTCAACATTTTTGAAATTGTAAAACCTACTATAATGTAATAAAAGTATTAATCTTGAACTTTATAGAAAAATAAAAATAAAAAATCTGTTTCCTTTTTAAATATCTTATATAATGCATTGATAGCATTTTTGTCTTTTTATACATCACAAAGTGTATTTTTTCATTTTAAAAATGAATTTGTAAATTCCATCCATAATGACTGATTAATACATCTTTGCTCACAAGGAAGCTATTAAACCAAGCGTTCCAAGTGGAGCAGTTGAAATCATCCCTTCGTAAATTTTACGGAAGCCATCACGAGTTGGTCGACCGTTATGGAATATCCGTTTCAAAGATGATAGCGGATATGTTCTTATGTCGTAACTACAATCCCGCCCCCTTTTCCCGAATGTGACCTACCGAATAAGACGTATTACCGGGTTTGTACTAACATGAGCAACACGACGGATGCCATATGTGGAGCAGGATCTGCTTACCCTTCCGGTGCACCTGAGAACACCCCCAGTTTTTGGTGGGGTTCATGTTGCTCAGTCTTTAGTTTTCTACGTTGTGTTTTGTGTACTATTGTTTGTCTGTTTGTCTTTTTCTTTTTTAGCTTTGGCGTTGTCAGTTTATTTTCGACTTGTCCCGTTAGTATCTTTCGCCTCTCTTTTAAAAACAGCTATTTCTTTTTGTTAATGCCATGTGGATGTGAAGAACAATAAGTTACTTAGTCTAAAATCTTTACAGATCCTCCTACAGGTTATTTTTTCCGGTTCAATCACAAGACCTTTCATGCGACCTTTCATGCGACTGAAGTCATCGAAATTATGTTCCGATTGTCTTAACTCTTGGCTCACCGGCAGATATTTCTTTATTAGCATTATTGTTTTAACATCGCTCCTGTGCAAATTGAGGCGTTTGTTGAATGGATTCTTAAAGTCACCAACATATTGGAGGCAAATGTGGGATCATCTTAGACTGAAAAAATGACATTCAAACTTTTACATTACACATGGCAAAACGTTATGTAGCTCCTTTGGGAGTGGGGGCATTACTGAAGATCAGTAGCCAGCATTTACAGTGTTTGTCACACCAAAAGCGTAATTTTCCAGAAGCTATACTTGGTTAGACTTTTCAGTTCATATTTCAAATTCCTCAGGCTATTGGAATGTCCAAAAGGAATCATACGGGGCTCCGGAAAGATCTTTGATAGTTTTCAACCAACTTCTATTTGATGTTCCAAAATGACTCTGAAGATATATTGCACAGATAGCTGGTATAAAGAACACATATATAAGTTCAAACCAAGTCCGTTTAATTCATATTTTATCGTTGTAATTTTACAACTGGACCCTTGGGATACTCTGCGCTTCCTGAAATCTGTTATTTATAGTCTGTCGTTTATAATCGTTTATCTTCAGTCGGTATTCGTGTTGACTCATGATCAGTCGTATTTTGGTTGTATCTTTGTTTGCCAATTGTGCCTGTAATCCGGCTGACTTTACTAAAAGCATCCATGAGAGTCAAGCACCCACAGTCAAAGGAACATGTACCAACACGGACACAATATAAATAATGCTGACTGAGCCAATTCAATATCTAAAGCGTTAAAAAAAAGAGATGCATTATAACGTGCACTAATTACTGAGCTTGAGCGTAGTTGTAACAGGTAAATGTATAAGTCGAAAAAAAACGACAATGCCATGGCAACAAATGAAAAACGACGAAACGACAAACAGTACACAAAACGCAACATAAAAAACTAAAGACGAACCCCACCAAAAACCGGTATGATCTCATGTGCTCCGGAAGAGCAAGCAGAGTCTGCTCCACATGTGGCACCCGTCGTGTTGCTCATGTATGTACACATCCGGTGATAAGTCTAATTCGACAGGTCACATTTAAGGAAAAGAGGACGGGCTTGTGGTTACGACAATTGGAACATATCCGTCTTCATATATGAAACTGATATTTCATAACGGTCAACCAACTCGTGATAGCGTCCGCAATATTTTGATTTCATCTTCACCACTTGGAACTCAAGTGCGCATTTGTTCTATTTGTATATCTTACTACATCAACATGCACAATTGATAGTTAAAATGTTTTGCATGTCAGTATGTTAGATCGCTGGTAAAATGATAATTCGATTGTTCTTTATTCGAGGTGTTTTTGCTGTCGTTTTACATTCACATTGGCTTTGTTGACTTGTATAATGGTTAAATCTTGACAAAAAGAAATTTGTATCTGACGAAACTTGGTGGAATGGCTTCTTATACTGTTTAATTCAATCAAATAGGTTCGTCCTGATAAATGATTTTTACTGAACAGCTTCTATCAGAAAAATGCGTAAAGGTGTCAGGAGAACCGTCCTATTGAATGCTCTAAAACAGTTTTTCTGCCAGTTCCTTACAAATTATAAGTGATGTTAGAATTGATCCCAACTGTACTTCGGATAGCACATACAATGGATAAATACACACACAAAAATTAAATATATTTACAAATAATGATGTATCTATATTTCATTGAACGTCTACACAGAATTGCATATATTTTTTTAAATAAGAACTCTTATAATATTATCCAGTACTATTAAAAACAGGTTATTCTTTCATCATACAAAAATACTTGTTGATAGTTTTTCTATTGTTTTTTCTCAGTCATCTCTTCAAACAGACATCTTGCGGCATGTTTAGGTTGAAAGTCTTCTAGGAGATCAGGAGGCAGGGACGTTCCTTTTATGCATTTCCTTTGTTCATCTGAAATACAAATAAATTATGCTATTTTACTACTTGTACTTATCTAATAAAAAAGAGTAATAACACTGAAATTGAAATAAAAAGATATATTCGAAATATCTTTTGGTTCCTAGGACGCAGCAAAAATCAGCTGACAAGTACACATGTATACTGCTTTTCAAAAACACAAATGTATCAGCGAAGAACCGATACAAAAGCGCCGTTCCTTTGCTTTGTGTTTGGTAAGTGCGGTTAGGAATTTTTATTTTCTACTCAAGAACAAATACATAGCTGTATTTGACAAAACCTTTTGGAATTTTGGGTCGTCAATGCTCTTCATCTTTGTATTTTAGTTGGCCTTATAAACGTTTTTGATTCGAGCGTTACTGGTGAGTCTTTTGTAGACGAAACGCGCATCTGGTGTACAAAATTTTGATCCATGTATCTATGATGAGTTTATATACATCAATTTTCTTTCATTTCCATATCAATTACATCACACTTTAAAAAAAAAACTACGAAATGTCCAAACTGTTGAAGGGGTTATTATGTTATCAGCCATGCATTTTATGGATTTCATTTGCCATTTTCAAGCTATTTAATGTGATTATATTGTTTTCATTGATGTAACAATTGTAATATTAATATGTTTACATCATATAATTCATTCGTCTGCAGCCTTTTTGTAAAATGTCAGTCAATCTTTACAAAACAAAAACTTGATCTGTAAATCATCATTATACATCAATGAATTTAAAATCAAATGAGACAACTCTTCATCAGAGACCAAATGACATAAAAGGAAGCAGCCATTACAAAATAACTCCGGAGTAGTACAGTTTTGATAAAATAGTGTAAGTACATTGACTTAATTATGCTAATAATAGGCCAACCTGAACAAAAAGTAAACTAGATATTTCAATAATCAGACATTAATGTACTAAACAATTAATAAGCTCCTGAACTGCAGCCATTAAAAAAGTCATTAGAAGTACAGTTTTCATGGTTAGAGGGTGCATGAGGTAACACCATTACAAACTTAGTCCCAATTTTATATTCTATTTTTAGAAATTTACCTGTGACGTCAATTTTAATAACGCTGAAACATTCGTGTGACGCACAGTTCATAATTCTATTGTGGTGTAAATGAGAGGTGTCCGTTGTTATTCTGTGGTTTACATGTTGTAATGTACTATTATAATATGTATTTATGTATATTTCTATCCTGAGTGTTCTTGCGTTTAGTTGTAATGTATTCCTGTCACGTAATGTTGTCATTTTAGCGGTCTTTTTAACATTGCCATATAAGCGGGAGGTTTGGCTAGCCGTATAACCAGGTTCAACCCACCATTTTTTCTTAAAATGTCCTGTACCAAGTCAGGAATATGGCAGTTGTTATCAAATAGTCCGTTTCTATGTATGTTGGCGTTTGTTTTTGTAGCAGTTCAGTGTTTATGTTGTTTCGTTGATTTCCTCTCGAAGTTGATGTGTTTCCCTCGGTTTTGGTTTGTGACCTGGATTTGTTTCAGTTAAATCGATGTATGACTATTGAACAGCGGTATACTACTGGTGCCTGTATTCATGAAATGTTCAAGTCCAAGAGACTGAGTAATAATTCCGAAAAAAGTTACTCAACCAGAACATTTTTTAAAGTCGATCTGCAAATCAGATCGATATCATCGCACATAAGAAAAAAATCGAAAAACCTGTTTTGTTTAGAATGATAGAGTGATAGAAGGATGGGAGGAATAACATCGGCAATAAAAAATATAGTAGTGGTAGGGGTAAAAAAATTTACATATGAAAAAATGGTATGTGATATAAATGCAAATGAGACAACTATCTACCGAAAGACCCAAATACAGAGTTTCAAACTATTAAATGTCACCATATTTGCATTTTTTCCGATACCAATCATGCGGGGTCTGCTATTTAACGTATTTTAACGACCGGTAAAGTTTACCTTATGAAAATATATACACTGAAATCGTTTTCTCGAATATCGTTTCCTGAAATTATTGGTTAGCTTGCATTGACGTATATATTCAATTTACAGTTACGGTGTAAATTTATCAACAGTATACATTACTATATATCTGTTTATTTTTATTAGCTTAATTGAAAATAAATTTTGCCTCGTATTTTGATTCAGTCTATATAATGTATTGATTTTTTGCATTTTCACTGCTACTTTTTATTTAAGATATTTAATAAGAAAATAATTTCCAAATATAAACAGGTCTTGAATGTCAAATATTTGAACATGTTTAGCTTAAAATCGCCAAGAGTCTAATAAGTTGCAAACGAGATTCACAGAAACTGTCTTACATCAGCGCCAAGATACCCCAAATGACGAAATCCCATAAAATATAACATGACTGATATTATTTTTATATTATTTATATATATTCTCTAGCTATTTTCAGCTATTTAGTACTTACTATTCATAAAATGGCTTACCTTTGTGAGATGCACCTTTACAAGCTAAGAATAAAAAGAAAGACTATTGTGTCAATAATATAATATCTTAGCTTTTCCATGGATAGATAGGGATTCTATGTAGACCAGGATTAGTTGCTTGTGTCATTTTTCTTATTATTAGTTATAGAATATCTACATATTACGTATATATATATATATATGTATAATAAGTTGCAAACGAGATTCACAGAAACTGTCTTACATCAGCGCCAAGATACCCCAAATGACGAAATCCCATAAAATATAACATGACTGATATTATTTTTATATTATTTATATATATTCTCTAGCTATTTTCAGCTATTTAGTACTTACTATTCATAAAATGGCTTACCTTTGTGAGATGCACCTTTACAAGCTAAGAATAAAAAGAAAGACTATTGTGTCAATAATATAATATCTTAGCTTTTCCATGGATAGATAGGGATTCTATGTAGACCAGGATTAGTTGCTTGTGTCATTTTTCTTATTATTAGTTATAGAATATCTACATATTACGTATATATAATATTGTATAAATTTCAAGATTGTTATAGTTTAATCTAAGTAGACTGATATATGATTCATTCAACATCACAATCATATTTACTGATGAAGGATATCTGTTATCCGAAATATTTATAAATAATTACATTTATAGTTCCTTTTTTTGTTATTGGTGTTGTTGTGTACACTTTTTAGGCGTTTATATATATGTATATATATATATTCCATGCAGTTCATATCATTCATATATACAGTGTGTTTAAGTGTGTGTGTGTGTGTGTGTGTGTGTGTGTGTGTGTGTGTGTGTGTGTGTGTGTGTGTGTGTGTGTGTGCGTGTGTGTGTGTGTGTGTTTCTGGTTTATCGTATTTGATTAACTTAAATAAAGTCATTAGATCCTTCAATTTTAATCGTTTATTTTATCCAAATCTTCAGAAATGTACTGCAATTGAATTATTGTCTTCTAAATTGCAGACTTCTTTTCCGTATTCATTGACCCTATTATGACACTATGTTTAGAAATTTGGCAATTGCACAGCACAAGTGCAAATGGAAAACGCTAGAGGAAAATAGGTATTAATGACGTGGAAGGAAGATAGTGTTAACCGATTCCGAAAGAAATTTGTGTATACATCAAATAACTGTCATGACAAAGTTTGATTCAAGTGATCCATCATGATTCTGTGTTGATTGTTTATAAGGGTCACGATCGGTAGGTAATTCTCTGTAACATAAACCGAAAGCTGATAAGCAACCACAGTTTTTGGTCAACGATCACCGAAATAATTATGTTTTGTCCATTATACTTTATGGATTCGTTATTAAGGTAAGAAACGTCCATAAAGGACAACATTAAGTAAATAGGCATGTAATGGTCCAATAACTTCCTTGATATTAAAATCATTAGAAACTCGTTTCATATGACTTGAAGAAATGGTTGTTACCCGCCGAGCTCACACAAAGGTCCGCGTTAGTTAATAAAATATATAAATTGGCGAAACATGTTATTTTGTAACTACTTTTAAAAAAACTAGATTAATGTTATACAGCTGGTAGATACATTTATATAATAAACATTTTGCTTACAGGTACTTCTTGAGCAACAAAATGTTCTTATCACGTCAATTATGTGAAGAGGCACGTTGAAAGGTATGGGAAATCTTGTACTGTAATCGCTTATGATAGAATATCTCCAGAATTTCCAAAGTCTGTCAGAATTATTCTGTACCTCTTCAAATCTATAGCTAAAGCAAAACATAAATATATATATATATATTCATAAATATATAATTCTGTGCATGTGAAATTTTTTTCTTAACTATATATATATATACATATATATATTATACAAGTTTAAATTGAAAACAACGTTCAAACCTATGATTGCTTTGGATAAAAACCGCAACTTTTTTACGTGTGCATGCAAAAAAAAATTCTAGGTAGAGGGGTCTAAATACAGCACAAACAACATTTTCCAAAAGACCAAAACAGTGAAAAAGCATAATTTAACAAAACGCATTTGACTAGCAGGTCGAAAAACGGATGTTCTTAAACCCTGCTGACTGCCATTGGCGATTGCCAAATAAACGGATCACCAGATGTAACAAAATTGATCTTAACTATTAATTTAATACCAAACAGAAAACAATAAACTTGCGGAAAAGATGGTATACCGCAAACAAAAGGTGCAAAAATTAGTACACCATATCCGGATTTCGACAATTAATGTCTCTTCAGTTATGTTAGGAATCGAAACGGTATTTGGAAGACCATATAATTTACCTCAATTTAGGATAGACTCTTGAATTTTGAAGAGTCGAAATAGGATAAACGGATCGTATAAACCCGAAGGCAAATATAATACAAGCCCTAACGGAAAAATATAAACAAGTCTAAATTGAAAACAACGTTCAAACCTATGATTGCGTTGGATAAAAACCGCAACTTTTATACGTGTGCATGCAAAACAAATTTCTTGGTAGAGGGGTCTAAATACAGCACAAACAACATTTTCCAAAAGACCAAAAAAGTGAAAAAGCATATTTTTACAAGACGCATTTGACTAGCAGGTCGAAAAACGGATGTTCTTAAACCCTGCTGACTGCCATTGGCGATTGCCAAATAAACGGATCACCCGATGTAACAAATTGATCTTAACTATTAATTTAATACCAAAAAGAAAACAATAAACTTTACAGGAATGATCATCTACTCATCTCTCCGGTATAATTACAGGATGCTATTCTATTTTTAGAAGCATAGTATTACAATCACTATGAATTTATAATGAGATATGTCTGCCTATGTGTAGTAACAACTGTAAATTATACCTTGTCCATCGGATTTCGTATGATTAAGAAATACCAGGCGTTATAATATTTACAAAGTGCCTAGGAAATCAACCTAACAATGTTATAGTAGATTTTATTCTTTACTTCCTCCCCGAGCGGGACGGGAACTTGTACTTTTCACTTCTCACTTCTACGACAGCACCGCCTAGCATTGCGCAGACGCCTTATCCCATACTCTAACTATAGCTGAGTAAAAATCAGCTGTCGTTTCGGGAGGTGTTACCTTCTAGTAGGAATAAAGGACATCTTATCAGAATACACGAATTATTTACATTTATATATCTTTGTATATAGTGAATACGCAGTATAATTATATTTATATATCACTGTATATAGTGAATACACAGTATAACATTTATATATCACTGTAAATAGTGAATACGCAGTATAACATTTATATTTACTGTAAAGGTAATATATACGCTGTATGAAATAAATTTTACTCATAGTTTATATATTTGAAGCATGTTCAGCTTACTGTGCTGGTACGTTGATGTCTATTTTTAAAAATCAATATAATAGCCTTTTGATATTGATATTTTAGATACATGATTTTTTTATTAGTTGCAATTAGTTTTGAACTATCTGTCAGTAACTGCAAGTACTCTCACATCTGTACTTTGTGTCTTTTTTGTTTTTAAGGGATGCATATAACACCCTGCAACGTCAGTGTGTGTTTTTGTTATATATGTTTCGGCTCTGTATCTATCTGATGAGTCAAGCCTTGTTCCCGGATTTTTTAAGTTTGTTCTGATGTTGTACTGTTACACAACTGTCTCATGTTTGGGGAGGGTTGGCGCCTTCAAACATGTTTAACCCAGCAACATTCTATATGTGCCTGTCCTAAATCAGTAGCCTGTAATTGAGTGGTTATCGTTTACTAGTATTGCTGTTTCTCATTTATTTTTTATTGTATTGTGTAATTTGTTCATGTGTTGTGCTGTTGCACTATTGTCCCAGGTTAGGTGGAGGGTTGGTGCCATCAAAAATGTTTAACCCCGCAATATTTCTCAATTGAATTGTTTCATATTTTTCATGTCGGGGCCTTTTTATAGCCGATTATCCAGTATAGGTTTTTCTCATTGTTGAAGGCCGTACGGTTGCCTATAATTGCTTACATCCACCTCATTTTAAATTTGGTGGTAAGTTGTATTTATTGGCAATCATACCACATCTCTTTATTTGTTTTTTTTTATTTTGTTCGTTACATGGCAAAATTGCTGTTCCCAGTGACAGCGTCAACAATTGTTTAAGTTTGTTATTAGATCAGTTCAAAAGGAAACACAAATGGCAGGCCAATGGTATATTGTTGCTTGCTTATTCCTTTTCAACAACGTTTTCAGCGATTTGGCTATTTCATGGCGGGATATTTGTATTAATGGTTGCAGCCGGAGTATTCGGAAATAACCACCGACCTTCGACAGGAAAACTTGCAATCCTTGTCAATGTTCAGAGTCGAACACATCTCTCCACGTGCGGGGTTCAATCTAACAATTGCAGTAACAGGCTGGTAATCACTTTAGACTAATCACTCAGACCACTTGAGTTCTCTAGCGGTTGTAATAGCAAAGGCGTATCTTATTTTCTGTGAGATTATTTGAACCAACTGATAAGTTATTTCAGAGAGTCCTTCAATGTGAAATTTTACAAAAGTATGGACAATATGCAGTTTTGTATTAAAATGTTTTCAACAGTAATATGTAGCATTGAATAACATTTTGATTGTATAAAAATATTCTAAAAAGGTTTTCAGAATATGATACAACATTTTAATTGATAAGTCAAATTTCTGAAGGATTTGAAAACTTTATTTTCGGCCCGGTGTCTAAGTGAAACAAATTGGCAATCATACCACATCTCCTGATAATTCTATATCAAATATAAGGGAAATTGGCCCTATTGGTTACCATTTATTTGTGCATACGCAATCCTACAGTTCCATACCATTACAGATTTAGGATTGAGTATATGGTAGGTAGAACACTGTACATAGGGGTAAGCTGTTGTATTGTCAACAGACAACGTTTGAGTAGAAACTGATACAATCCTACAGTTCCATACCATTACAGATTTAGGATTGAGTATATAGTAGGTAGAACACGGCAGGAGTAGGCTGTTTCATTGTCAACCGACAACGTTTGAGTATATAGTAGGTAGAACACGGCAGGAGCAGGCTGTTGCATTGTCAACCGACAACGTTTGAGTATATAGTAGGTAGAACACGGCAGGAGTAGGCTGTTGCATTGTCAACCGACAACGTTTGAGTATATAGTAGGTAGAACGCGGCAGGAGAAGGCTGTTGTATTGTCAACCGGCAACTTTTGAGTATATAGTAGGTAGAACGCGGCAGGAGAAGGCTGTTGCATTGTCAACCGACAACGTTTGAGTATATAGTAGGTAGAACGCGGCAGGAGAAGGCTGTTGCATTGTCAACCGACAACTGTTGAGTATATAGTAGGTAGAACGCGGCAGGAGAAGGCTGTTGCATTGTCAACCGATAACTTTTGAGTATATAGTAGGTAGAACACGGCAGGAGAAGGCTGTTGCATTGTCAACCGACAACTTTTGAGTATATAGTAGGTAGAACACGGTAGGAGTAGGCTGTTGCATTGTCAACCGACAACTTTTGAGTATATAGTAAGTAGAACGCGGCAGGAGTAGGCTGTTGTATTGTCAACCGACAACCTTTGAGTATATAGTAGGTAGAACACAGCATATAGTAGGTAGAACACAGCAGGAGTAGGATGTTGCATTGTCAACCGACAACTTTTGAGTATATAGTAGGTAGAACACGGTAGGAGTAGGCTTTTGCTATGTCAACCGACAACGTTTGAGTAGAAACTGATACAATACCACGTTTTGTAGAATGTGTGTACCTTGAATTCTTCAAATGATCGGAGCGAGTTTAAAGCTCTAAACAAAGCATGAGTGGTGTTATGATTTGTTTAGGTAGACATTAACAAATTAGAAATCTTTGTTGACTTTTTTCCAACTCCTTTCACCGACCGTGCAAGACCCTCATTGACAGTCTCCTATGGCACAGATTATTGTTAAAAGCTCGTCCGTTTATTTCATTACTTGTTACCATTTTAATTTCAAATTCATGAAGATAACCATATCTATCCTCACGGTAATACTTGAAGACTGGGTACGGCTTAATAATTATACCTGAATAAAGCGATTACTAAGTTGACCAACAAAAGGTTTGATATAAGCATGTATATGGCTGCAATGATCATGATGGCCCAGTCGTACTCAACACATCTCTCTATACTTGGATCGCTCTCCCATTCTGATTGGATGAAAGTGCACGACCCGTTGCTGTTATTTTCACCTGAAGAAATAAATGAACGGAAATCCTTGTCACTCATCTGCAACACATTCAATGAAACAACATATGTGTTTTTCAAATAAGGGCTTCAAAGTAATGTGTTGCATAGTAAATTCTTATTTTCTTGCTTTTTAATAAAGATGATGAGGTATGCAGATACATGTATCATGTATGTATAAATATTCGTAATAACTCCTGTTATCTTCTATGTGTATAAGTATTTCGCTCTCATCTCGTATGGACTTTAATGTCCCCATATATATTGTATTAGGTTATATTACCAGCACACTGTGAAACGAATTAATCTTACCAACTATCTTAACATGTGGCATTTACACTAGTGGCCTATCAAAATGATCAAGTCTTCAATGTTAAGATCCTTCTTCAATTGGTATATACAAAAAAATATGCCAACCATAATAACCACTTGTTAGCTTTAATGTGTTTTCTGCATTTATTTTCAGTCGTTCGTTATCAGTTTCTTTATCTGTTGTTTGGGCAGAACGTTTCAGATGTTTCAATATCATGTTGTTTTTACAAAGGAATGTAAGACTGCTACTATAACCCAATAAAATAAAACACGCCCACTAACCCAATATTAAATATACACGGCACCTCTAGGTCTCAAAGTTTCCCGTAATAGGTTTGGACTTTTCTTTTAGTAGTTCTCAAGCTATTTTTAAGCTGTGAAAGAGGTGCAAAATATACAAAAAGAGCCATTAAAACTCATAAGTCGAAAATAAACTGACAACGTCATAGCAAAAAAAAAAAGAAAGAAAAAGGCCAAAGACCAAAGACAAACAACAGTATACAAAATAAAGCATAGAAAACTAAAGAATGAACAACACGAACCCCACCAAAACCGAGGGTGATCACAAGTGCTCCGGAAGGGTAAGCAAAGTCTGCTCCACATAGGGTACTCGTCGTGTTACTCATGCAAGTTCAAATCCGGTGATAAGTCATATTCGGTAGGTCACATTCGGGGAAAAGGAGGATGGATTGACGGTGGTTAAGACGATTAGAACATATCAGTCGTCATCTGTCAAACAGATATTCCAAAACGGTCAGGCAACTCGTGATGGCGTCCGTAAAATTTTCGAAGTGTGAGTGTCATTATATAAGATCATTTTTCAAAAAACATAATCGAACGAAGGACGATCGAGGATGTGATTTGAGAGTAGAATTACGGATGTGTGATATACACCGACCATTGTCTGTAAATAACTAAAGCATGGGTTCTAGTGCTCCTGATGGATGATGTTTCATATTGAAATTTAAGACTGTTTTTCTTGAATTTGTACACAAGGCTGTGTCGGTTAGCGGATGTAAGATTCATAGCTAAAACTTTACCGCGCGTACAATACATTGCGTTCTTTCAATTAGAGAGACATAACGCTTTTTAGTGCCCTAAACCAACATTGTTTTGCAACCGAGAAGCATCTGAACCGATGAAGTTTTCAAACTCCGAACTTTTTAAGTTAAACTGCACTTAATAACAAGTTACCTTTCAGATCTTCCAGAAAAAGTTCACCATAGATTTGCCAATATGGCAGCGACATAATTTTCCAGAGTCTCCAGTAGAATGCACCTGTTCCACGACTGGGCCACATGTCGTAGTGATGTGGGTACATGTTTGAATGATACAACACACCCGCGCACATGATGAAAATAAACAGAATCCAGCTGAATTGTATTAATTCTTTTAGCTTGTAAAATATACAAAAACACGAATCACAAAATAGGCAAGAATACGATTTAAATCGTTTTATTGAGAATGTATATTATATATCGTATGGGGGTGAATTTGTTCGTTATATGTAATACTCTGCACGTAATTAGAACTATTATTTTGATGTTAATTTCTTTCGTATTTCTCTAAACATTTTGCTTATTTTGTTATTCTGCTGATCGAGATCATTAACAAAGTTGTTAATTATATACAATTCAGTAGAATTTTGTATTAATCCTGCTACAATGATACCTTAGCCAATTGAGGAATTTGATGTTAACGATGTGACAATTTTGGAATATTTTGTCGAATATATTTACTTGTATGGACTAGGTGCTATATGTATGAACATTTATCTATGATTTAAGACGGCACGTAAACGATGTAAATGTATCTATTTTTTCTGTGTTTCTAAATAGTTCTTACGTTTGTTATTTAAAAACCTTGTTAGTTTTTGAACGATTATGAGAGTACATTTAAGAAATTATGCCTGTCGGTCACTCATTGATCTCACAAGCGCTTGAGTATAGGATTTGGATATTCATTTTTTCAGTGTTTGAACTGAATTTCAAATTTTGTATTTTACCACATATTTAATATTTTACTAAACTTGTGTACCCGTCAACGTCCACTCTGTGTTTTTGTTAGATGTATTTCTATTTGTATTCATCTGATGAGTTAAGCCTTTTTCAACTGATTTTTATAGTTTGTTCTTATGTTGTACTGTTACACCACTGTCCCAGGTTAGGGGAGGGTTTGTGCCTTCAAACGAGTTTAACCCCGTTACATTCTGTATGTGCCTGTTCCAAGTCAGGAGCCTGTAATTTAGTGGTTGTCGTTTGTTGCTGTGTAACATATTTGTTTTTCGTTCATTATTTTGTACATAATTATGCAGATAGTTTTCCCGTTTGAATTGTTTTACCTAAAGTTTGTCATTTTGAAGCCTTTTATAGCTGACTATGTGGTATGGGCTTTGCTCAATGTTGACGGCCGTTCGGTGACCTATAGTTGTTAATTTTTGTGTCATTTAGTCTCTTTTGCAGAGTTGTCTCATGGCAATCATACCACATCTTCTTATTTTCATATTTACCGTGTTTTATGTTAATTGTCAAAATATGTTAACATTCTATAAAAAAATAAAATAAACTATATTTTTTACTTTTACTCCTTATCATTATATTAATGATTAATGATTTTATTTTTTTTTCAAAAAAGTAAGCTTACCATTTTGCCGATCATAATTATCTTCGGACCAAAGTAAGTAAGTACCAACATGCTTTTCAAAAATCGCATGTACATTATGAATAGCCCTAGGCTATAAAGTCTAATTTCTGTGCGTTTGTAATCATCTGCAGAGACAATTCTGACCAAAAAGGCTGCTCCAATGATAATGTATGAAAACCAGGCTAGAAGTTTCCAAAAATCTTTTAGATATACAACCAGTCGACCCTTTGGCATTTTGTGAAGTAAAAGCGACCTCAGATGTCTCTGAAAGTAAGGGAAATATATTATTCGAAAGATAGCTAATTACCTTTTGTCGGACACTCGGAAAATAGATCTTATATATTTTCCTTTTTTTCTAAACAAGCACCAAAGTAACTCAACTCTGTGTGTGAGAACTATTTCTATATATGTTTGTCTCTAACCTAGTCAACCAGACTAATTATCAGCATTTATTACCTTTAAACAGACTTATTAAGAAGGGATACAGTTACGATACTGTTGTCAGGTCATTAAAGATGGCATATTTTGGAATTAATATTGATTCACTCATAGGGTCTTTGCATTGGAAATAAACACATTTTTCCTAAAACAAGTTGCTGGTATGATACGGGTTAAGTTCTTCTCATATATTTTGTGATGGTAAATTCTAAATCCTTAGCCGGGAGGGATTGAGCTTGATTTTCATATGATGAAGACATAATCTTTCAATCAGTTAAATTAATGTCTGGATCTGGCATGTCAGTAACTGCTAGTAGTCCTTTGTTAATTTATGTATCATTGTCATTTTGCTTAGTTTTTTCTGTTATCTTTTCTGACATCGGACTCGGACTTCTTTTAAACTGAGTTTTACTGTACGTATTGCTGTGTGTGTCTGTTTGTTCTACGTTGGCTAGAGGTATAAGGGAGGGTTGAGATCTCACTTAACATGTTTAACCCCGCCGCATTCATTTTTGCGCAGTCCCAAGTCAGGAGCCTCTGGCTTTTGCTAGTCTTGTATGTTTTTTTTTTAATTCCAGTTCAATTATATGTTTCGGCATTGAATGTGACGTTCATTTTCACTGAACTAGTACACATTTTTGTTTAGGGACCAGCTGAAGCCTACCTTTGGGTTTTGGATTTTCTCGCTGTGTAAAAGACCTATTGGTGGCCTTGGGCTGTTTTCTGCTGTTTGATCGGGTTGTTGTATCTTTGACACATTCCCCATTACCATTCTCAATTTTTTTTTATGAATTGTATATATCTTTTTCTAATTGATGTAATTCAGGACACGCCAAGTTCTACCCAAGTTTGATAATTATCTTATATTAATTTCTTATTTTCTATTGTGGACATCTTCATCGCAACCGCAAAAGAAATCGAAACATTTATTTTTCCCAATTGCTTGTTGAAACATCAGGATGCCTTGATCAGTGTTTACCAAACCGATACTGAGACTCCATGTGAGAGTCATTTCCCCTTTTCTATTTGATATAAGAGATACATAAAAGTAGCTCGTGAACCGTTAGTGATAGAACCTAGGGTAACTTGATTTGAGGTCCTTGGTCCAACAAAAAGAAAAAGATGTCAAGGTCATATGTCAGGGTCATGATTTAAATTTTCTCCTTTGCTTATGTATGCATCTTATCTCATATTATAAAAGCTGGATATGAAATAACTGGTGCTAAATATTTAGGTTGTCTAAACAAAGATATGGTTCATTCAGTCCGAAGCGACCTGATGATATCTCATTGGAGTAATTGCCCCTGAAATGATAATATTAAAGGTCAATTGATTATTTCTTCAATATGGTACATGCTAAAGCCGTATGGTCTTTTGCAAAATATAAGACTACATATGACATAAAAGATGTGTACCAGAAGTGTCCTACAGTAAACCGGAAGTAGCATTTTTGCACTTTTTTCAAGAAAAGTACCTACAAATCATATATTCTTATAACAGTCATATATAAAACTATCATAGGAGACCGGATATGATCTTCTATAAACCGGAAGTAGCTTCTTTTCTTCCTTATTTTAGGCAGAAATATAAAGAAACCATATATTTTCGGAATTGGTAAGAATAGGCTATCAATAGAGACCAGAAGTGACAGTATCTTAACTGGAAGTAGCATATTATATCCCTTATGTCATGTAAAAGTATATAAAAACCATATATTTTTGGAATCAGTGTGAATAAAGCTATCAAATGAGATGGAAGTGACATTTTGTGGACCGGAAGTAGCAAATTATCTATTTTATTTCAGACAAAAGTAAATACAAGCCATATATTTTTATGAATGAGTATGAAGAACCCTATGATTGGGCGCATATTTTGTAATTTCTGTCGGCGAGTAGGCTTCCCATTATATCAAGTCAGCTGCATGAGGTAGTACACAAAATGAAAAGTTCAACAGACCACCAACATTCGACTCTTTCAAGAAAATAGACGTAGAAATATAGATCCACCATTAACAACCGAGAATAACACAAAATTCGTTTACATGATCACGTGGTACAGGTATAAAATGTAGAGGGGTTAAAGCAGTTATACCTGCAAGCAAGATTCTTCCTTTGCCTATCAAGATTATATGCCGTAAAGTACATCACACAAGTGAAACAGGTACAGTGTAGCTACCTTCACGATGACCAATGGTCAGGGAAATTATACACGGCACATATTTTGAAAAGTAGTGTAAACACAAATATTCAAAACAACAAAATTTCAGGCTTACTCGGAAAACACTAAAAATTATCAAAATTCACTATTCATAAATAGTATGGATAAAAACACCTATACCCACTGCTATTTCGACCATTTGACTTAACTGTAGACTTTGTTTCCCTATTAATTTTTGCTGTTCATAGATTTTCTTGCTACTATTATTTTCTCCATCAATACAAACATGGGTGAAGTGGACAATAACTCCTATATAGTTCTCAAGACTATATTATCAAACAAACCCAAAATAAGTAAGCTTTGTGAGTGATAAAACTACAAGGAGTCAACTGAGATTTTGTCATTCAATTTATGTGTTAGAGTAGATCTTACTGATCATCATTTATGTTTTGGCTGTTTTTCCCCCATTTACTTCAGGTAACGCCAGAAATGCAAAAATGTTATAACATTGTCATTTTAGGACAACTACTACAATAATAATATGACTGGCGGTTTCAGATAAGATGACACATTTGTAGATATTTTTGCTGTTTAAAGTTGCACTTTCTACCAGATGAGCTAACAATTGGTCGTACCAAGAGGTTAAGTTGATGTGACAGTATCAAACATCAGAAAAATAAATAAGGTGTGAATGAGAAAAAGCTTTCGAAAAAGAAATGTACAATTGACATTATTCCGAATTATGAATGGTCGTACATGTACCAGATTACCGTGTAGTGTCGTAAAAGTGATAATTAGGTCTTTCCACTATTTTGTGGAAAGACCTATTGTATTTGTTCTGATTATTTTTTTTTCTTCTTCCGACAAATTGGTTTCTTGCCCTGTTTTGTGGTTTCGCAAGATGGCGCTTAGATTTTTTGCATATGATATCGAACAGTTATTGCGTTTTTAGTCGAAGACTTTTTATTGTAAGAGTTATCTCCCCAAACACTGTTTTCTTTGTGGTGAGATCTCCTCTGTAACCGTACAAAAAAGCGACAAATGTATTGTACTAAATTGCTCGTTATATCCTAAGGATGTGTTGTCAATTTTTAACCGAATCAATTCGTAGACTCCAAATGACATTTCCACTTTTGAATTTGACATAAGTGATATGCCAATGTATCACATGAATGGTAAGTAATACAGACCAAAGGTATGTGTATTTGAGGTCCTGGGTTCATAAAAATAAATTTGAGGTCAAGGTCAAAGGTCAAGGTCATGTTCTTAATTTTGACTTTTTATTGTTCCGAGATCTCGTCTGACAATCTTAGAGATATATTCAAAAGAACTAGTGCAAAATGTTTGCCTCACTGTGATGAAGATATGATACATTTGGTCTGAAACAATCTAATGACATCTAATAGAAGTTATTGTCCTTGAAATGACTAAATTCAAGGTTAATTGATTATTTCTCCAACTTGGTACATGATAAAGCCATAGGGTCTTTTGCAAACTGTTGGTTGACATATGACCTTGAAACATATCAACCGGAAGTGACCTGGGGTAAACCGGAAGTAGCCATTTTTGCACTTATTTCATGGAAAAGTACCTAGAAACTATTTGCTTTTTTAAATATGCATATATAAACCTATCATTTGACACCGAAAATGACCTTCACCAAACCAAAAGTACCTAATACCTCCTTTATTACAGGGGAAAGTATATAGAAACCATATATTTTTGGAATCAGTGTAAATAAAGCTATCATGTGAGACCAGAAGTGACATTTTAAAACCGGAAGTTGACAATTATCTCCCTTATTTCAGGCAAAAATATATAGAAACATTTATTTATTGAATCAGTATGAAGTAACGTATGCTTGGACGCCAATAGTAACTTTGAGTAAACCGGAAGTAGCTTCTCATCAATAATTTAGAATAGAAAATTGATGTGGAAAGACCTTCAATTGTTCTCTGAAAAATTGGTATCTAATTTTATTTACATTGCAAATGAACACTTCATATAACAAAGTGACAGGTTAAAGTATACTGAAAAATTATCAGAGTTTTAAAAATATTCGATACTCAATTTAAAATTAAAATCAACCTTGTAGTTTAGTGATTAATTATTTGACGGTAAATAGAAATCGCCAAGAAAACCCTTGTTACACGAGACTTGCATTTGGATAAACATTTGTTGAAAGTCAACATTTTTACCAGAAAGAAATATTTTGAAATTTTGTTTTAAGTTAAAAATAATATAAAATGAAAGAATTTGCCAATTTTGCCTCATAGTAATATAGTTTATACAGGTTACTTTCCAATTTGTAATAATATCTTACAGTGTTAAACATGTTTGTGTATATTTGAAAATATACTCTCATGCTATGTATATGTAATTCTTTACATCTTTGTTCTCTATATTCAATAAGTGATTTTCGTTAAAATTACTACGACATCGTAACATTATATGTTATTCAGGTCACATATACTGCCGGAGTATGCGGAAAATATTATAACATACTGCATGGGGAAAATATGTGTAATTCAGGGAATATAAACTCTAAGCCGGGAATGTCACATTATATACCATGTCTGAGACCTGAAAAACATATAATATTGTATTTTGTAATACGAAAATATATTAAAAGACTGCATGCCACTGCATATATGATAATCAGGATGCGGAATCTTTTGTTCACTGGACATCAATTCTTTGCGATGAACAGTCGCGTTTTTTTGATAGTGTATGATGGGTTTGCACGAAGATAAATGATAACAGTGCCTTGGTTACCTCGGATGATGTCCTTCTGGTTGAAGATATGCTATCCGTTCTATCCAATTGTCAATATATATTTAAAAGTAATATATTCCTTGGCAACGGGGTTCGAGTTGCACAACAGACATTTAGAAACCCACTGTTGTATAGTAAATTTTCATCGGACAAAACTCTAATGTATTTTAACAAAAGTACTAAAGCAGTTGTCACAAATGATGAAAGAACTGTTGACCATTTATTCCCGCGTCACCAGAGGTCTTCTCCAAATTTTGATAGCTGATTCAGTTGATTAATCTTTAGTTTTCTGTCACATTGCAAGTGTTTTGTTGGACGTTAGTACTTTGACCTTGACTACAGAAACTGCGAGCATTGTTTTTTTTCATACTGTATTATAGTTAGTTGTATCTATAACTGTTTATTTTTTTGTTATCTAATATACCGTTTCTTAGAGCTAAATGTATGACCTGCACTAGCCTTACTTGAATGTTTAGTGTGTACATTATGTTAATCTAGTGGTCGAAATTAAAAAGGGAAAATTCAGATACCCGCTAAATTTATATATTCCTTCCTTTTTTATAATATTGTGAATATCAATAAATAGATTTTGAGAGTATCAAATAGTATCTCAACATACTTACAAGAAGTATTTCCTCCAATAAATCAAGTAATATCCAAAGGTGAAGTATGAATTCATACACTCCAATTCCTCTGAGAGCATTCTCACTTTTTATGTCCATTAAAATGAATGCACTGTAAATTACCAACAGAACCAAAACCACAATCTTAAAATATAAAATCGATTACAATACAATACCAGAATGTGTGAACTGCTCTATGCAATAAAATAATATACAAGGCGCTTTAGAAAAGCCAAAAGAGTAAAATAAAAACCCGAAAATGCATATGGTGAGTTAAAAACAAATCCTTGATAAAAAGTAACAATAATACACAGAGTTACTACTTAACCACAAGCTTGAACAAGAAAATTAAAAACGACACATAGATCTTAAATCTGGGTAAAAATGGCTTGCCTTAGTTGATAGTTGGATACTACCCCCCCTCCCCCCATTCCAAAAAAGAAAATAAATAAATAAGTTAAAAATTAAAAATTAAAAAGAATATCAGAAACATCACGATCTGCATGAATTTTGGAACAACCTTTAATGAATAATACCGCCATCAAATAAAACTGCCCAATGCAACTAAAATCATACTTGTACAATATTAAATTTTCTACAATCGCGTAGACAACAATATCCTGACTTACAAGCAATGGTTGACCAATGAGACATGACAATATCATTATATGTAATACATGCATAACTGATACAAACAAGTAGAAAACTGACACCGCCAACTCAGTCTTCCCAACATGCACATTGCACATCATCACAGAAAAAAAATATTTTAAGGATTCAAAGTACTACTATGATTAGAGGAACGAATACACGTACTATAATTGATATTTTTTTCTGTAAAAATGTGTAACAATTGATAATAGATACCATCACGAATCAAACTTAAAAAAAATATATATTTTTAGTAACAATGATCTAGAACTTTGACCCTAAAATCTGACGGCGTCTTCCACTTTCCTACATCTGCAATCTATAAGTTTCATTCCAATAAAACAAAGGAAAAAAAGCTTCTATCCACAAACAAAACAATTGTCCATTTTTTTCTTTATCTATAGTTACAGTGTATTTAGCTTGAGCTCTATTCATTTCAAAATAATGAGGATTTTCCATTCTCTATGAGTCAATATCTGTATAAGCTGCATACTTATCAAGCCAGGGAAACAGTGATCTTGATCTTTCTTTGACCTATTGACTCCACCTGTCTTATGCTTCCTGTCCTTCGTATTACTTCCATTTGGTATTTCAAATCAAGATATTCCACAATAAATGTTACACAGATGACTGATATCATCCAATTGTCGTAATCAAAATACCGTCCTTATTTCCTCGAATGTGATCTACCGAATAAGACTTATAAACGATTTTATACTTACAAGAGCAACACGACGGGTGTCAAATGTGGAGCAGGATCTGCCTACTATTTCGGAGCACCAGAGATCAGCCCCGATTTTTGATGGTCCGTGTTGCTCAGTCTATAGTTTTCTATGTTGTGTTTGTGTACTGTTGTCTTTTTTATTGGTTTTCATCATGACATTTTAGTTTGTTTTCGACTTATGAGTTTGAATATCCCTTTGGTATCTTTAATCTCTCTTTAATCTAAGAATAATTATGCTAAGATGTGTTTTCAATATTTATGTGGCTGTAGTTTTATGAGAAATATTAACCCCGCCACATTTTTGCGTCTGTTCAAGTCAGGAGCTTCTGGCCTTTGCTAGTCTTGTATTTAAAAAAAAAATATTTCATTTATATGTTTTGGAGTTTGGTGTGACGTCCATTTTCATTGAACTAGTACAAATTTCTTTAGGGGCCAGCTGAAGACCGCCTCCGGGTGCGGGATTTTCTCGCTGTGTTGAAGACCCATTGGTGGACTTCGGCTGTTTTCTGCTCTAGGGTCGGGTTGTTGTCTCTTTGACACATTCCCCATTATTTCCATTCTCAATTTTAATTCAGTTATAGAAAGAATTCGAAAAACCTAAACAAAATTTCCCGAAACAATGGTTCTAATCACTAAAAATATTCTTCTGAAACAAATAATCTAAAAAAAAGCAGGTTCTCCTGAAACTATTCTTATTCAAAACGAACTAATCATCACAAGGTATTCGTATCTTATTTTGTATTCTGTTTTTGTTTTAGTAAAAGTTTAACGATGATAGAAACTACTTTGGTTTATAGTTATCCAGGCTAATCTCTAAAATGATAATGTAGTCACATGTAAGGAGACAAACAAAAATATTACACCAGTAATGGTCAGTTCGATTTATATGCAGAAAGTTGTGGTCAGAATTCATACAGTGAACATGCATATTAACATTATGAATTGAATGTCACTTTGGTATCTTTCGTATCTCTTTTGATATTTAATGCTATCTTTTTTTGCCTCTTATGTCAGTTAAATCATTGATAGAAATAAAACCCAGCAACCCTTTTAAGCGGCACTTTAAAGGTGTGTTTTTTTTCAAACTATTGTCTGAGTAAATCTACTGTGTAAAAATAGCTATATGTATTATTTTTAAAGAATAATAAGTCAAATTGTATATCAGCTTTATATAACATAAATAGATTACCCTACAAAAGAGGGACGAAAGATACCAGAGGGACAGTCAAACTCATAGATCGAAAACAAACTGACAACGCCATGGCCAAAAATAAAAAGACAAACAGACAAATAATAGTACAGATGACACAACATAGAAAACCAAAGACCAAGCAACACGAACCCCACCAAAAACTGGGGGTGATCTCAGGTGCTCCGGAAGGGTAAGCAGATCCTACAATCGATAAAATTGAGAATGGAAATGGGGAATGTGTCAAAAAGACAACAACCCGACCAAAGAGCAGAAACAGCCGAAGTCCACCAATGGGTCTTCAACACCTGGAGGCGGGCTTCAGCTGGCTCCTAAAAAATGTGTGTTAGTGCAATGAAATCGGACGTCACACCAAACTCAAAAACATATAAATGAACTAAAATTAAAAAAAAAAAAAAACAAGAATAACAAAGGCCAGAAGCCCCATACTTGGGACAGGTGCAAAAATGCAGCGGGGCTAAACATGTATTGTGAGGTCTCAATAGGTTTCATTTTATTATATATTTCTAGAAATTCGTATTCTTTTTTCAACCTTATTTCATGATTTTATATGTGGCGCCACTTACGTAATGTACAGCAAACGTCATTGCTGGAGAAGACCAAGCTTTCTTCATGTTTTCGAAACGTCTGGGACCACGACCACAGCACCACAAACTCTGCAATAAATACAATTGAAATGTTTTAATCAACAATAAAACGTTCTTTGTATAAGATACTTAACTACAATTCAATTGGCTTCTCTCATTAATAACAAAGCTAATCGTATGACGTGTTTGCAGGTTTAACAATACAATTTAGGTAGATAAATGTGAAAACAGAAGCTCAAAACTGCGTTTTTACTATTGTCTTAGAAATGCACCACTAGCAAATTTTTTAAACCCCAAAGAGATATATAAGAAATTTACTACAAGAGTTTGTTCTTATCGCGAATCTAATAAACATTTTTTATAGTCCTGGAATGGAACTTTTGCTAGTAATTAGTGATTTGAAAGAAGATAACCGATCTAAACAAAAACAAAAAGACAACAATTGATACTCAATATTCTCCTTCTATCACATGAAAGGAAATAACCTTATACCACTGTGGCAACTGAGCTGCAGAATCATTGTACCAAATTTTACTCAGGAGGCGCTGGACACATGGATGACCGATCACGTCAACCATTCCGTTTTCATAAGCACATTCAATTGGACCAACGCTCATATCCCATATCTCGTCTACAGTGTTTACTAGCGACATACAACCTTTCTCATCTTCGTCATACAAGGTATTCTGAAGTTCCAGGGCCCTTTTTTCAAAAAGCCTAAAACACAGCAAAACATGATATATCTGAACATCTCTTTATCTTAGGCAGCGAAATATATTAAAAAAAGTACACGTCGCACGTGTTTGATCTGGCGAATAACAATGCTGCCCATGAAAAATGAATAACAATGCTGCCCACGGACAATGAATAACAATGCTGCCCATGAACAATGAATAAAAATGCTGCTGCTCATATACAACGAACAACAATGCCCATGATCAATGATTAATAATGCTGGCCATGATTAATGAATAACAATAAACAATAAAGATCTCTTAATGACATGTATATATAGAACAGTTGAGATATCAAATAACATTGATGTAAGCAAAACGTATCACCTTGAATGTTGTGTCAAATCTTCATGTAACTTCCGATCTTTGCCTGTGTGAACTTTCTTAGCCATATTCTTTAAAATACTACTAGCCATAATCGCTGTAACTGTTAGAATAAGTAAAGATATTTGATTTGAAGACAATTAAGACTATGGTCACAATTTGCACTTCATTGTTTATTGTAAATACATGTAATTTGTCGTTGTGAAAGCAAATTAAATGGCACTGCAATACATTATTTCACTGATGTACCTAAAAAAATAAAAACCATTGTGTAAGACTTAAACTGAAACTCTGGTATCTCGAATACCTGTAGTTTAAGGCTTATGTTTCATTGGCTGTCCATATAAGTTCAAATGTTTTATACAAATGTATATTGATTTCTGAACCATTGTATCACATTAGGTAAGAAATTGTAAATCGTCTTGATTATGCATTTAATATGCCCCGTTTTTCTATATAGATCCATCAATTGGTAAACTCATTAGACAGAAAAAGCTAGAAATAAAAAAGCTAGAAGCCGCTTTTAAATATCAATCTGTAAAACTTCATTATGGAGATTAAAAGCACACCCAATTATCTGCAGAAACAATATGATCTGTGTTCCCGATTTCTATTTATAGCATTGTTTTGGCTATCGTGCACAGCAGATTTATGCCTGCGTTTCCGAATACCCTTGCATTATGATTGTTTCTGTAATCGGGATGATTTCAACTTCCCAATTATCAATTTCTCATTTCTCAGCAGTAACATACCCTCTGCTCCGTCGTATGATGTTTATATATCTCAATTGATACGTTATGCTCGTACATGTTCACACTATACTGACTTCATATACAGGAGTGTGCTCCTTACGCAGAAACTGCTTCAACAGAGTTATGAGGAGGACAGATTAAAAATGACACTCCGTAAATTTTATGGACACCATCACGAATTGGTTGATATATACAATGTGTCTGTGTCTAGACTAACTAATGACATTTTTACCACGTCTTAGATTGTGGTTTAACATTTATGTCGTCTGTATGCTAAGTACCGAACGTGACCTATTCCTGAATATGACTGTTATACCGAGTGTTAATTTGCATTGCTATACGACGTGTTTCGGTATTTAGTACATCCAACATTCATGTATTTATTTTTGATGTTTCTGTTATGGTTTCGGTTGAATAATGTGTTATGTCTTATCGTTTGTTGTCCAAATAATTATAAAATTGCCTTTCAATACCATCATTGTCATATTCCCGAATATGACTGTTATACCGAGTGTGAATTTGCATTGCTATACGACGTGTCTCTGTATTTTGTACATCCAACATTCATGTATTTATTTTTGTTGTTTCTGTTATGGTGTCGGTTGTATAATCTGTTATGTCTTATCGTTTGTAGTCCAAATAATTATAAAATTGCCTTTCCATAACATTATTGTCATGAAAATTGTTTGGACGAGTATTGTGAAAATAATTGTATAAAGTTCGAGATTGCATGTTAGTTACGTAAGCGCGTCACTGTGTGTGATATCCTGTGGTGTCTGTCGTTGATATAATATGTTCGTTGTTGTTCTGCGGTTTGCATGTTGTGTCGACTATTATATTATTTGTTTGTGCGTTTCTCTGTGATGAATGTTCTTGTGTGTATTTGTACTGTATTTCTGTCACGTAGTGTTGTCATTTTAGCGATATTATTTTACATTTTCATAAAGCGGGAGGTTTGGCTAGCCATTAAACCAGGTTCAACCCACCATTTTTTTCTGAAAATGTCCTGTACCAAGTCAGGAATATGGCAATTGTTATCAAATAGTTCATTTCTATGTATGTTGGCGTTTGTTTTTGTTGCACTTCAGTATTCCTGTTGTTCCTTTGTTTTCCTCTTATAGTTGATGTGATTCCCTCGATTTTAGTTTGTATCCCGGATTTGGTTTCTCTCAATCGATTTATGACTTTTGAACACCAGTATACTACTGTTGCCTTTACTTACATATTGTTATATAGTGTGTGAATAGCTGTCCTGTCTAATTATATTAATGAACGGAAAGTGATACAGTGAGATGGAAACACAGAAAATATTAGTCAATCAAAACATAATTAAGAAAGTGAAAGTGTTACAAGAATTTTTCAATAATTCACTTATACCCAGTCAATTATATTTATTCTTACGTAATGGATTTTTGCATTTGGACCAAAATACTCCAGCTAATTCTTTTCTGTTTGCAAATAAAGCCCATGCTAACAAATCGTGATATAAATCATCTACAAAGATAAACGACTATGTACGTTTATATGACGCGATGATGACATGTTAGGTCGTGACAGAATATCTTCGTCACGGGTGATCACAGATAAGACATTTATTATAAATTATAATATACTTTTATGATTAGATTCAACATAAGCTCTACTCATCCTTTAACAATTTTTTACTACGCAATCTCGACTTTTTATCTACACCGTTGATGTCATGACTTATCACCGGAAATTTACTTATAATATTGAGCAACTCGCGAAACTTTAAACTATTTTTTTACCAATTGAGATCATTTTAGAAAAAAAAGTAAAATAACAATAATACCGAACTCCGAGGAAAATTCAAAACGGAAAGTCCGTATTCAAATGGCAACTTATTAATAAAATATCAAATGTTCGTCAATTTGGTATAATAACTGGAAAGACTGTGACTAGCATTTAGAATAAACAGTGATGCGAGGTACATGTAAAGTCATCCGGGCAAAAGTTTGACGACATTTCAACACAATAAGTTTTGTACCTTTGAATATTGTTTTTTTCCCAAATATTAAGAGGATCCAGGTGAATTTACTCACTGCAATAAAATTGGCATTTATATATTTGATATATGAAATTAACATTATAATTTGGTGCATCCGAAGCACTTTTCTGGAATCATTTCTTTCAAGGACGCTCTTACCAAACAAATTGAAAGCCAAGGAAGTATAAATACTTGAAAACGTACGGAGCATCATGATCGAAAGGGTTGCAAAAACAATAGGCTTATCCATCTTGGGTAATCTTTGACTGAGGGAATTGGAGCCTTGACTTTTCTTAAATTTCTAAATTTATTAGTGAAGAAATATCTAGAGGTAATGCAATGAATATTATTATACTTCATGCCTAAATGCCAGATTTGATTGGTTAATACGAGGAAGATAATTTACCCAAAAGTACTCTATTGTCCTTCACGGATACGTTTGATCAATTGTGCGCTTTATTAAATACGGATGGTAGTTATGTAAAATATTTCATAGTTTATTTCTTTGAATTTGACATTTAATAGACAGTAATGACAGAAAAAGTAAAATATCGAAAACAACGAATTCAAAAATTGGATAATTGGATACAGTAACTGATCGCGACAGAGGTCGAAAAGGAAAAGGCGCAGCCAGCGAGCAATATGAGGTGTACGAGTCAAGATGTAATACCCACCAAATCATAGTACGTCACATCCGGTTGCATACGAAAAAGGGTTGAAAAAAATATTCGCTTGCAATTGTATGAAATCAATCCTACATTTCATTGCAGTACAAAATTTCTGAGTCATAAACAGCACTATTCTTTTTTTATTTGGTGTTTCTATAGAATATTTCTGAAACTTGAGGTTACATAGTTACTTAAGCTTGTACACAAGGAAAAAAAGGGTGAAAATTTGATTTATTAACTTCCAGTGATGATTATTATCTTATATGCAATAAAATGTCATGTAAAATTTTGTCTGTTGTACTGGACAGGAAAAAACTTGACTCATGCCAAGTATTTCTTTTTTTGAAACAAAGATACATTCTGCATAATATTTTGAAAAGTTCGAATTAAACAAAGACTAATGGGGAAAAACAATGGTGGTATTATACCAAAAGAAAGGGGTCACATGGCCAGTACACACCTTAAAGAATCATAAATTATTTTTAGGAAGGGACTCAAATCCCAAACCACTATTTCAAACATACATAAATAAAAAACACAACCGAGTTTAAATCTAGAATAGTTGACTCGGAAATTAAAGATCTTTCCGACAGAACAATAATGGACGATGAGAAATAAAATTACTATTGAACTATTTCAATTTTAATTTGGCCGATTATTATTTTTATTGACTTAGGCAAAATTATTAAAAAGCATCCTTAATCATTCGAATTATTATATGTCGGTGTTGATTATTTTTTTTTATCATTTATTAAGAGCGTTTGTTTTGTATAATGTAGTAAAAAGGTATACAATAACTAATAAAGGTATCAGGATAAACATCCTTCCTTACCTTTAGGCATGTCTTCCTTTTTACTTTCATCTGGTACAAAAAGTAAACAATCGTCATAGCAAGATACAAAATGTACACTGTATTTAATCTTGATCAATTGTAGTGCATATATACCATATACGTTTTACGTACATGATCAATTGAAACAAATGGAAAATATAGACAATTTGAATTATAACGTTATTGTTCTGAATGCAGACTTTGTAAGTGGTAAAATGTATATTTGTAGATGTGGTACAAAGAACACGCAGACGCTACCAACAGTAGACACAATTCTTCATCGGATGTTATATATGATATAATTGAATGCTGTTTTCGCGAGCGCTTTTCAAAATAATGTGATGGTCACTCTCGTTGATTAATTAAGTACGATGAACTAACAATTCTTTATCTGTGATAGCTCTCATACAAAATGGGTTCTTTTCAAACGAAAAAAAAAGATTATCAAAAATACCAAACCTCAAGGTAAATTTAAAAAGGGAGAACGAATAATAGTGACTAAATAAAACGTTATAAACCAACGGACCACGTGGAAAACAACTTTCATAGTCCTGACATGGTACAGGCGTTTTCCGAAGACAATTGTGAGTAAAACCGATGTCACTGGATGGTAATTATTATTATCTGCTGCTGAAAACAGACATAGTTGGTCTATGAGGTATGTCATCTGTAATATCACCATACGACACGTGATGTGTTAAAAACCCAGGTAAAGCCGACGAGGAATGACATATTTCGAATAACGCAAGCTATGGTCGAATATACTAGGTCGCTGGATACAGTGCTATAATTGTTACCGCGATGTCACGTGTACAGAAGCAATGCTTAAACTCCTGCTGAATAAAAAAAACAAAAATTTGGTACGCAAATTTGCAGATAAATTTCGTTCGTCTGGATGTAAGAATTTGAAATAGTAGTGTCAATCAGATTTTATTTTAGGAAACAGTAGTTTACCGATAACTAAATCTCATGATTTCAAATCAATTTCAAAAACTACTATTAACAAAAATTGGATAATTGAATAGAGTAACTGATCGCGAGAGAGGTTGAAAAGGAGGCGGCGAGGCTAGCGAGCAACAATAGGTGTACGAGTAAAGAAAGGAGTCACATGGCCAGTACACACATTAAAGAATCATAAATTATTTTTAGGAAGGGACTCAAATCCCAAACCACTATTTCAAACATAAATAAAAAAAAACACAACCGAGTTTAAATCTAGAATAGTTGACTCGGAAATTAAAGATCTTTCCGACAGAACAATAATGGATGATGAGAAATAAAATTACTATTGAACTATTTCAATTTTAATTTGGCCGATTATCATTTTTATTGACTTAGGCAAAATTATTAAAAAGCATCCTTGATCATTCGAATTATTATATGTCGGTGTTGATTTTTTTTTTTTATCATTTATTAAGAGCGTTTGTTTTGTATAATGTAGTAAAAAGGTATACAATAACTAATAAAGGTATCAGGATAAACATCCTTCCTTACCTTTAGGCATGTCTTCCTTTTTACTTTCATCTGCTACAAAAAGTAAACAATCTTCATAGCAAGATACAAAATGTACACTGTATTTAATCTTGATCAATTGTAGTGCATATACCATATACGTTTTACGTACATGATCGATTGAAACAAATGAAAAATATAGACAATTTGAATTATAACATTATTGTTCTGAATGCAGACTTTGTAAGTGGTAAAATGTATATTTGTAGATGTGGTACAAAGAACACGCAGACGCTACCAACAGTAGACACAGTTCTTCATCGGATGTTATATATGATATAATTGAATGCTGTTTTCGCGAGCGCTTTTCAAAATAATGTGATGGTCACTCTTGTTGATTAATTAAGTACGATGAACTAACAATTCTTTATCTGTGATAGCTCTCATACGAAATGGGTTCTTTTCAAACGAAAAAAAAAGATTATCAAAAATACCAAACCTCAAGGTAAATTTAAAAAGGGAGAACGAATAATAGTGACTAAGTAAAACGTTATAAACCAACGGACCACGTGGAAAACAACTTTCATAGTCCTGACTTGGTACAGGCGTTTTCCGAAGACAAATGTGAGTAAAACCGATGTGACTGGATGATAATTATTAATATCTGCTACTGCAGACAGACATATATGGTCTATGAGGTATGCCATCTCCAATGCCACCATACGACACGTGATGTGTAAAAAAACCCAAGTAAAGCCGACGAGGAATGACATAATTCGAATAATGTAAGCTATGGTTGAATATACTAGGTCTCTGGACACAGTGCTATAATTGTTACCGCAATGTCACGTGTATAGAAGCATTGCTTAAACCCCTGCTGACTAAAAAAAAAAAAAAAAATGATACGCAAGTTTGCAGATAAATTTCGTTCGTCTGGATGAAAATCTGTAATAGTAGTTTCAATCCGATTTTATTTTAGTCAATAGTAGTTTACCGATATCTAAATCTCATGATTCCAAATCAATTTCAAAAACTACTATTAACAAAAATTTGATAATTGAATAAAGTAACTGATCGAGGGAGAGGTCAAAGTGGAGGCGGCGCGGCTAGGGAGCAACAAGAGGTGAACGAGTAAAGAAAGGGATAACATGGCCAGTACACACATTAAAGAATCATAAATTATTATTAGGAAGTGGATCGAATCCCAAACAACTCTTTCAAACATAAAAAACCACAACAGAGTTTATTTCTAGGATAGTTGACTCGGAAATGACAAAACAAAAATAGATGATGAAATAAAATTACTTTAAAACTATTTCAATTTTAATTTGCCGGATACCCCGATATGAATAACTGATGTGAAGATATATACTGACGGCTCCGACTCGGAAAGGAATGCGCCACTTCATCTTCGTTGTAAATCTTTGTTTTGTGTAAACTGATGCAAAATAATGATGAAATAAATGTTTTGTTAATAGCTTCAACTTTTTCTTCTGTCGAATCATTTGTTTGATTAAAATTGTAAGAAGTTAATTTATGCTGAGTTCACTTTAACGTTAATAGGAGGCAAATCTCATTGCTTATTATTAGAGACGTCCGGCCCGTCGACATAATGTATACATTATTCACGTACGGGACCTATCTAACATACATACAATGCATTTTTAATAGACGATGGAACAAAATTAACTATTGAGATTTTCTGGGTAAAACAGTAAATAACCCTGCTTGAAATATTTCTCTAATACTTGTTTGTGTACAAGACTAAATCAACGATTCGCGGAACTTCTAATGTAACACAATGAGAGGGCTGACCATAAGATAATGAGGTTAAAGGTACTCGTTAGAATTGAATATCGTTGATATGAACTCTCGTTATTTAAATTCAAATACTAAGTATAATGAACTAGCGGAATACTAGTACTCGTTTATTATTATAAAAAAATAAGATATCAAACTATATCAAAATCTCACTCGTTATAAAACCTATGAGTATAAACAGGTCGAATACACTCCTGACAAATAACCACGTTAAAGGTAAGTAAAAGCAAGCGTGAACTCTACATATACTACTAATAAAAAGATTCAATTTGAATATAAGAATTTAGACTGTAATTCATGACATAACTAGACGTAGTATTAAATGGAAGATAAATTTAATGGAGTAGTAATTTGTTGAGTGATTGTTTGATATACTCATGTATAATGTCCATTGCTGTTTTGAATGAATGAGCGAGACTCTATTTGCGTTTGTTAAGTTTGCATTTTGTTACACATACATATCTCTACCAACCTACAGAGGATGCTCTCTAATTCGTATGCAATATGAGATTATAGCTGATTTACAATTCAGTTAATCAAAATATATAAACAAGTAAGTTATTTGTTTTATTACTCATGAATTGACACTCTTTTTTTAAAGTTATTCGAGTTTTTGCAGTGTTTTTGGTTTCTTAAATGAACACTGCGGTTTAAAGGACTAAAGACAATATATTATACGAAGCCATTTGCGAAGGTCATTGTCGAAGTATTTATGTCCACTGGGGATATTGAGACACTCGCTATTACAGACGACGCCATATCCTTGATGACATCTGTCCAAGTCAGCATTCGTCCTGATATTTGTATTTCTTGCATTTGTATGTTTCTAAGCTAATAATGTAGTGGAAGACAAAATATACACCTACATTGCTTCGACTTGGTGGAAGTATAAAAAATGTTTTTAGGTGCGCAAATAAAAACAGAATGTTGCAAATAAGAACTAACTTTCTGAATATGTCAAGAGAATAGAACATAACTGTCTTGCACTTTTGATGACGTCACCTCCGCGTATCTTACATAGTTGATTCGTTTCATTCAAATGATTAATGCATGTGCACCAAATTTTCCGACAGTAAGTTGCTGACACACGCTGAAATGTATGTACAAAGAATTATAACTGAATAGACTATTTTCATATTACCGACTTTTGACTACGGATTATATAATTTGTCGACTGGTTACCTTGGACATCATGGTACTCGGTCAAGTAAGAGCAACCAAAATAAGTAAAATCAAACATATAATCTGTGTAATTTGAGGGGAAAGTTTGCTGTTTTCCGATGATTTTGTAGTGAAAAAAAATGTTGAGCAGGTAATTTTCCCTCAAAATTGTACCGATTGAACGCTCGGTTTTACTTCTTTAGCTTGCTCTTACCTGACTTGGTACCATGATGTCCAAGGTAACTAGTCGACAAATTATATAATCCGGAGTCAAAAGTCGGTAATATGAAAATAGTCTATTGCACAGTAACATGTGTAACTCCATAAAGAAAAAATGATTTAAAAGACTACAAATATACGAGAATCAAATTGGCTATCTTATGTTAGGAATTTCGTTTATTTTCAAAACACATACAGACAGATTATCTTTATTACTAAATGAGGAAACCAATTTTGTGTGTCGCGTCGATTTCTTCTCCGTAATGATTTATTTTTATCTTCGGATGTTCTTTCTGTCAGTACCATCAGTTTGGGTTTTATGCATACTTCTGCCTTCTTCTACATATTGAGCATGTTAAGTATTTTCATCCCTTTTTGGAGCACCTTTGTTTTTTTACTTTTTTCAAATGCAAAATATAATCACATGAATGCACATAGTCAGGAACATATTTTTCAGTGGTTGTCGTTAGTTTATGTGGTTCATAAGTATTTCTCGTTTCTCGATTTTTTTTTATAGATTAGACCGTTGGTTTTCCCGTTTGAAATGATTTACACTAGTAATTTTAGGGCCCGTTATAGCTTGCTGTTCGGTGTGAGCCATGGCTCCGTTTTGAAGGCCGTACTTTGCCCTATAATGGTTTACTTTTTACACATTGTGACTTGGATGGAGAGTTGTCGTGTTGGTACTCATACCACATCTTCTTATTTCTATATACCATATCACAGTACATTGCACAGTCTTTCGCTTCCACCATGAACACACAAAATTAATGGAATAGGTGTCATAGGTTGACACTTTCACAAACAACCTATGCAAATGTCAATGTCAACTAAGTGATATAACCGAAATGTTACTATTACGGCCTAAGTGAAGAGAAATGCGCTTATTGACCACTTTTGTTTTGTTTTAGCATCAGAAAACCATTTTTTAAAACCAAATTCAGTCCATATTTAGTAACTAAGACATTGACCTCAAAATAGATAAGGATATTCCTTCTATTATAAGTGACCGTATATCAAATTAGAGTTGCAATCCAAGATGTATTATTTTATTTAGCGTCTGGAAACCACTTTTTTTTTCTATAACCTTGATCTTTGACATGTGGATCTCATAATCAATAGGAATCTCTCACTATATGAGATCATAGAAAAAAGTAAGGTTGCAATTAATATATCAAGTGTTTTGGTTAGAATCCAAAAACGCAAATGACTGACGAACGGACGATTCTAAAACTATATCCTTCCTGCTTAAATATAGGGTAAATATTTCTCTTCTAGAAAGTTGATCAAGACTCAGGAGTAGGACATGGCTACTGCAATCCAATTACTTCGGTCAATTGTCAGCGCACGGTTAGTAATCAAATTCTTGTTCATTTGTCTCTATATCGGCTCTATGCAACTTTTCGGATAATGGATTGTGTAAAATTATTGCTTTGAAAAATATGCATGCTGCAAGACATGCAGAGCGTTTGCAAATAAAAAGTTATTTGCTAACTTTAAAACATTAATAAGTATGCACTATACATTAACTACATTTAGTAATTGCGTTGTCTACATATACAACCAAATAAATAGGGTTAATCGTAGCCACAATAGCAAATCTTCAAATTATAATAATATTCATTGAATAATATCAAACATTAACTAAATGATGATTTACTCTTTTTTTCTGTTTGTTTAGAAAGGAATATATCCATATAATCAGCTATAAATGTTTATATGCAAACAGTACTCACAAAATGGATAGCATGTATCTTTGTACAGTCGATACCGTCGCAGTTTTTGCACTGAAGGGTCTAAAATGACAGACAACAATCTAATAATTCATTTTAATCATTCTTGATTAACTGATTGATGTTGGCTAAATGCCAGTTTCAAATATTTCACGAATTCAGGAGATGGACAAATGCATAAAACATAACTTGTAAGTTTTCGGTTGTCCAGAGGTGGCGTTCTTCCCTTATCTCAGTCTACCAAATGGATTTTATTTTTACAATAATAACATGTTTAAGGTACATCTCGGCGCATGTATGTAAAAAGAACTAAATTCAGGTTCATATATGTTTCCATTTCTCAGTTGATACGTTATGCTCGTGCATGTTCAAACTATACAGACAACATATACAGGAGTGTGCTCCTTACGCAGAAACTGCATCAACAGAGTTATGAGGAGGAAAGATTAAAAATGACACTTCTTAAACTTTATGGACACCATCATGAATTGGTTGATCTACACGACGTGTCTGTGTCTAAACTAACTAATGACATTTTTACCACGTCTTAGATTGTGGTTTAACATCTATGTCGTCTGTCTGCTAAGTACCAAACGTAACCTTTTACCGTGTATGACTGTTGTGACGAGTGTTAATTTGCATTGCTTAACGACGTGTCTCGGTATTGTTATACATCCAACATTCATGTATTTATTTATGATTTTTCTGTTGTGGTTTCCGTTGGATAATGTGTTATGTATTATTTGTCAGTATAGTCGAATTAATTTTCATTTTCCATGGATAAAGTATTGTGTTAGTCCAAGTAATTATGACGTTGTCATAGCATTTTTTACAAATATAGCCTTTCAATACCGTCATAATCATAACAATCGTTTGGACTAGTATTGTGAAAATAATTGTATGAATTTCAAGATTATATATTTGTTACACAAATACGTCAATGTTAGTGAAGTCCTTTGCTGTCTGTCGTTAATGGGAGATGTTCGTTGTTATTCTGCGGTTTACATGTTGTAACACTCTGTGCTGACTGATTTTGCGTTTGTTTGTGCTGTATTTCTGTCGCGTAGTGTTGTCATTTTAGCGACATTTTTTTAACATTGCCATATAAACGGGAGGTTTGGCTAGCCATAAAACCAGGTTTTACCCACCATTTTGTTCTTAAAATGTCCTTTACCAAGTCAGGAATATGGCAGTTGTTGTCAAATTATCAAGTTCATTTCTATGTATATTGGCGTTTGTTTTTGTTGCACTACAGTGTTTCTGTTGTTCTGTTGTTTTCCTCTTATAGTTGATGTGTTTCCCTCGGTTTTAGTTTGTGACCCTGATTTGTTTTCTCTCAATCAATTTATGACTTTTGAACAGCGGTATACTACTGTTGCCTTTATTATTCATAACAATAGTTTAAATGGTATTGATTGTAATTTGCAGTTTGTTTACAGTAATATATGTGCATATAAAATTACAAGTATGAGATATATCTACAAATGTTATCCACACTTCTATTAAAAATCTATACATATTTGCCATTACATAACAGTGTCCCATATTCGTACGTCGACAAGAAAAGGTAAACAAAATGTACGAAAAGAATGTCTGCGTACCTGAAAATGTATATGTTTTGCTGTGTTTTTTTTTTACTTAGTTATATAATGTTCAACTACATTAAGTGTATTACATTTGGAATTTATAAGACTGTAAAGCCAAAACTAGTAATTGGCTAATTATTGTATCAATTTAACTTCTCTTAATGTGAATGACTTTGGGAACGATTTTAAACGTAAATCCATGTTTCTTCGGTTGAACAAATTTCAAAGCGACAATTTTTTTTTTACAAGAAACACACAGTATTGAATCCTATGAAACTATATGGAAAGGGGAATGAGATGGAGATATTTATTTTTTGCATGGGGAAACTTATTCTAGAGGTGTTGCTATTTTGTTTTACAGCTCAACAGACTATAAATTAAAGGAAAAAATAGCAGATGAAAATGGAAGGTATCTCATTCTAACTGTTGAAATTGATAACACAGATTTAGTTTTTGTAAATTATTATGCGCCCACCAAAAATTTTGAAAATGAACAAATTGATTATATTAAAAAAATCAAAATTTTATTAAACGAAAAATAAGATCAAAATCTTGTTTTGGGCGAAGATATCCATCTTTAGACAAAATGGGTGATTCAAAACCTGACAAATATACGAGTAAATTTGAAGATTTTATAGAAAAATTTGAGTTATGTGACATTTGGAGGACAAAAAATGTTGATTCTAGATTATACACTTGGCGTCAAAGAAACCCTCTTATACAATGTCGATTAGATTTTTGGTTGATATCAAATTTCTTGTCAAGCAGTGTAAACAAAACATCCATTGTCCCATCTATAAAAACTGATCATAGTCTTATTAAATTTACACTGTCCGGCGAAATCTTTAGTGAGAGAGGTCCCGGTTTCTGGAAATTCAACTCGGGTATACTGACAGATAAAGATTATGTGGAAATAGTTAAAATACTTTATCAGAATGTGATAATAAATATCACAATTTAGAAATAAAAATTTGAAATGGGATACCATACAAGGTGAAAAGTGAAATAACAAAATAACCGAAATCCGAGGCGCAACCGTCAAATATTCAAAGTATAAAAACATGAAATTACGGGAAAGAGAGTCCAATTTAAAAACAACGACAAGACGAAATTCAGAAAATTTTCTCTCGTACATATTTAGATAAAGATATTAATACACTTTTGATTGAATTAGATATTGTTAAAGAGGATTTAGAGCAAGTAGTAAACAATCGATCGAACAAGGGGGCTATTATACGATCATATGCCAAGCACTGCGAAGGCAATGAAAGAAATTCAAAATATTTCTTGTCATTAGAAAAACGCAATTATAAAAAAAAAATGTATTAACAAATTAGTTGTAAACGACATTGAAATTATGTCAAAAGAAAAAAATCTAAACGAAGAGAGAAATTTCTATAAAAAACTATACTCAGTCTCATCAAAAGAAGACCCTGATAAAATTAATATTCGGGTGATTCTAATTTTTTTAGTTTGGATTTTATTCCTAAGCTTACAGATGTGGAAAAAGATATATGCGATGCAAATATTTCAGAATCTGAAGGCATTAAAGTTTTGAAAACATTTGAAAATAATAAAAGCCCTGGTACAGACGGGCTAACTTCTGAGTTTTACAAATTTTTCTGGATTGATATAAAAAAATATGTTTTAGAAAGCTATGAATATTCCTTCGAGACCAGAACCCTCTCAATAGACCAAAGACGGGGTATTCTGACTCTTATCCCAAAAGAAAGCTAAAGACAGAACACTTTTGTTGAACTGGCTAGCGTTTCACAAAAAATCGTTCGATTTACGTTTACGATTAAACTTACGTTAAGCGTAAGATTTTAGCTACGAGTGTTTCACAAAGTTGATCGTTAACCTAACGTAAACTTACGAGTACAAAGAAAAAAGGGTGCTTTCTTTGACAGCCGCGTTAATGTAAAAAAAAAAATCTTTCTTTTAAAACCAGGAAGAAAATTTATAAAACAGATTTTTTTCAGCTCAGCTTTCAAAATCGTATTTTGAAATTGTTATCTGTTTTTTGTTTTTGTTTGTATGGTAAATAGGTTTTGTGTGGTTAGTGTCCCGTCTAGTTTTAATATATTTTTTGCTTTGGTTTTATTAGAAAAATTGGCTGTAGGTGGTTTTTTTGCAAGCTGGGTCTTATTTTGATATTGTTGAAGAATGATGAAATCATGAAAGAACAGACAAATGCATTAGGACTTCGGCATTTCTTGAAATCAATTCAAAATGAATTTCTAAATTGTTTACATATAGATTCTACCACTGCATTGAGTGTGATACGATATTTATCCACTCGAGACAGTTAAATTTTCAAATTTTAAACGCGAGGCTCGCCGAGCGTTTTAAATATTTAAAATTTAATTGTCGAGAGTGGATAAATATCGTATTACACGAGATTTGGTGGTGGAATCTGTTTCTCCTAATGATTTTCAAACAATACGCAGGCAAATTTATTCCTTCTTTTCGAATGATCTGCAAAAAGATGTGCTCTTTCTATGTGACGTCATCAGGCATGGTCGCCTTTTTTCATGCCGTCACAATAGGAAATTCAGAAGAAAGCAAGAAAATTCGACGTCATAATCGGATTTTAATCAATGAAGAACTGAGATCAAACGAACCACACGTTGATTAAATTTTTTTTATACAATGGGTGCAGAAAGGGATAAATTGACAAAGAATTAGAGAAATGAAATTATACGTATCTTCAAATGATAATTATGAACTGGTATAAAATTCATTAAGCATCGTGATAGTTTCTGATGCGTGTCCAGGCTTTTTTTTAAAGGAGGAACCCACCGGCAAGACAACGTTAGGACTTGAACATGTAAAAAGTCTATGCATAAACATATGTGTAGCTCTATAAGGGGGCGCCCCATCCCCCAGCCCAAACCCCAACTCAAGTCCGCCGCTTCTGAGTTTTAATACTGATTCAATCTGACTTTTACTTCAAAGGGACAAGACATCGAGACCTACTATAGAACAATATTAACGCCTAAAACTACATTCCAATTTCCCGTTAAAAAGCCACATAAAAATAAGGAGATGTGGTATGATTGCAAATGAGACAACTTTTCACCAAAGTTCAAATGAAGTTGATGTGAAAAATATGAAACAATTCAATTGAGAAAACTGACGGCCTAATTTATAACAAAACAATTTACGAGAAACAAATATGACAGACATGAACCAACGACCACCACAGAACTACAAGCTCTTGACTTTGGACAGGCACATATAGAATGTGGCGGTGTTAAACTAGTTTGCTGGCGCCAAACCCTCCCCCTAACCTGGGACAGTGGTGTAAAAGTGAAACATAACAACAAACTATATAAAATCAGTTGAAAAGGGCTTAACTCATCCGATCGATACAAAGCAGAAAACATCTAACGAAAACACAAACCGGACGTGTCAGCGTATCTATACATCCCACAACAAAAAAGACACTAAGTAAAGATCTGAGAGTACTCGCAG